AGACTGAAGAGGGAGGCAACATCATTAGAACACATCACATTGCACGCCAAGAAGAATCCATTTTGCCCACATTGCCAAAGAGGTCGAATGATCAAACGATATGCTCATAGACATAGACCCGAACCTGAGGACGAAGAGGTTGTGTACAGTATTGCAAAGGAGTTTGGAAGCATCATTGAGGCTGACCACATTTTTCCAGCGGTTGAGTCTAGGGGGCTTGGTGGTGAACAGTCCGCCCTCTTAGTGCGAGACAGATACTCTGGAATGTGTTTGACATACCCTCAACGAACACGCAATGAAGATAGCAACTATGATGCGTTGAAACATTTTGGTGGCAACAAGTTGAACGGTAACCCAGATGTTGTATTCCACTCCGACACAGCCCAGGAATTGACCAATGCTGCATCAAGACTGGGATGGGTGGCTGATCCATCAGCCGCCAATCACTGGCCACACAATGCCTTTGTTGAAAGAGAAATCAGGACCATCAAGGAGATGTGCAGGCCATCGCACCTGCAGGCAGGCTTCCACAGAAGGCTTTGGACCATTTCCATCGAGTACACAGCCACTGCAAGATCCTTCTTCACTCCGGCTCCGATCACGGAGGATGAGAGAGACACGGAAGAGGGAAAGAAGAAACTTGGTAAGACGCGATGGGAAGTGGCCACAGGTAAACCTTTTGATGGCGTCTCTTATCCACTAGGCGCATTGGTTTTCTATCGTTCCAAGGGGGACGGCATGGCAGAGCCCACAACTCGTCCGGGGTTGTTTGCCGGTTGGCACCTATCCCCTGGGCTTCGGTATCGTGGCAATGTGAAGATTTTGGACTATGAGTCTGTCAGAGAGAGAGGACATTTGCACTGGCAGCCACGTGTGATGCATGAGAAGGAGGTCTATTTCCCTCCAACAGAATACATTGAATTTCCTCTTGCATTAGCTGCACAAAATGCCATGTTGCAAATGAGGATGAGGAGAGAAGTCAAGAAAGCCATCTATGATAGATCTTTCGTGGAAGGGGTTTTGCCATATGACGTGTGCATTGATTCTTTTCCTGTTGACGCGCCTCCACCTCCTCCAAGACACGCTTACATAACATGGTCAAGGTTGATGAAACATGGCTTCACCAGGGGATGTCCAGGGTGCTCCATGGGACACAACAGACACTCACAAGAATGCAAAACAAGGTTTGACGCCATCTTCTCCAGACGTGGCGAATCAGTGGGACCAACTCCGAGACCAATACAGGATGGTGTTGAAACTGAATATGAACCATCCATAGCTCCAGATCAATTCCCTGAAGATGAAGTACCCATATGCCCACCGAGGTCTGATGATGAAGAAGAGCTGCAACCAGCAGCGGTCACCAGACAGCTCCCGAGGTCAGAGGTTCTCTCGCGTCCTGACGCGGTAGCCGCGATCAAGAAGGAGTTTGACGGTATTGGGGACATGGGCACATGGGATTTGGGATCGGTTGAGGAGGAAGAGACGGTGAAAAGGCGAGCCATAGAGAATGGCCAGACTATCCACCTAGCAGACCTACTAGCCATATGTAGTGAGAAGAACGTTGAGCTAGAACCAAAGTTCAGAACCCTCAAGGGTAGAGTATGCTACAGGGGTGACGCAGCGAAAACTGCAAAAGGAAATGTCGCGCTATATCAAACCATGAGCGCGTCCCCTGCTTCGATCACTGCGGCTAACGCCATCATAGCATACGGTCTGTTGAAAGGCCACAAGATTTCATCAGCAGACGCCATCAAGGCGTACCTTCAGAGCGTTTTGAACTCATTGGCCGAAACTTGGGTCAGGTTGCCCAGAGAAGTTTGGCCGGAAACTTGGTTTGACTCAAATGGAAAGCCTTTGTACCGGAGGCCAGTCATCAGGCTGCTTCGCAGCTTGTATGGGCATCCAGAAGCTGGAGCACATTGGGAAAGGAAGCTGGAGCAAGAGTTGGTAAACATGGGAGCCACGAAGATTCCAGAATACCCAAGCACATATGTGTTTCCTTCCTACGGGCATTTGGCTTTGGTTGTTTATGTGGATGACTTCGTTTTGAGCGGGGACAGTTCATACCACGATTCCTTTTGGGCAGACCTTTCTAAAAGAATCATGTTGGATGACATCGGTGACCTAGGTAGGTTCTTGGGGAGACATCATTCAACAGTGGAGTTCAGAAATCAAGAACTATTCGCATTCGACATGCGAGCCTATGCTGAGAGCATTGTCAATGACTATGTTCGACTGATAGGTCACGCAAAACTGAAGAGAGTTAGCACACCATTTCTCTCAAAGACCACTGTGCTTGAGGAGGCTCCGACTAAGGGCGAACTTGCAGGTTCAGCCAGCTCGGTCCTTATGAAACTGATGTGGTTGGCGCGATTGTCGCGGCCTGATATGCTGAGAGTAACCACTTGGTTAGCTACTAAGGTGCAACAGTGGACCACGGAGTGTGACAACCATCTTTTCAGGGCGATTAGTTATTTGAATGAAACAAAAGACCACTTACTCACTGGCCATGTAGATGATGATTTGAATATCCTCCTGGGAATTTTCCTTAAAAAGTTCAGGACATGATGTCCTTAAAAAACTGTATTTTTTAAGGGACATACCTGGCCGGCAAAAAAAACAGTTCTATTTTTTAAGGAAATCCTGTTGTTTGACGGTCTCCTATTCTTTAAGAGGCCTTCCTTGGAAGATTCTAGGAACTGCACCATATATATATATTCATATATCATCCACATCCACATATCTCTTTAACATGTACATGAATGTACATGATATGTATCCATAAAATCTTAAAAATATTCAGAACATTTCATGCTTGACTTCAACTTGGGTATCCAATTCTTTAAAGGGGCACCCCTTGGTGTGTTTTTGATGGTCTCCAATTTTTTAACGGGACATACCTGGCTACTGTGTTGCAATCTTGGTTCATTGGGGTTAGATTCTTTAAGGCTGAAATTTGCCCTGGTTCGCATTCTTTAAGAGGCTACCAGTGGTCCCTTAAAGATTCAGGGGTCAGGGTCGGAGGCCGAATTGCAAGGGGGATATTTGAATGACATCTATGTTGAGCTGTTCTGCGATGCAGACTTTTGTGGTGATGACGAGCACACATATTCCACAACTGGTGGGTGGGCACAGCTAAGTGGAAAGAGCACCAGTTTTCCACTGACCTGGATGTCCAAAAAGCAAGGTGCGGTCTCCAGATCGACAACTGAAGCTGAGGCTGCAGCGATGGCTACTACTTTATTTGATGAAGGTCTGCCGTTGCTAGAGCTGTTTTCAGTATTATTCAGAAAGTCAGTGCGCTTGTTAATCAGAGAAGATAACGAAGCCACAGCAAAGGTGGTTTCTGCTGGCTATTCCAAGCGTTTGCGACATATGAAGAGAACACATCGTATAAACTTAGGTAGCCTCAAAGAGGAACTGGACAAGGACGATGTGGACTTGCAACTAGTTGCCAGTCGCTACCAGAAAGCCGATATCTTCACTAAGGGATTGGCAGGTGAACTGTGGGGACCCGCGTTGGACCTTCTGGGAATAATCAATGGATATGTGGTCACTCGGACCACGAACACTGGTTTGAAGATCCAGGAGAATTTTGATGAGTCTCTGCAGCCTTCCTATGCTGAGGACAAGTCAAAACCTGTGCCTACTCAGGATGCTCCGAAACCCAAGGCCAATGTGAGAAAGAAGTACAAGAAGAAGGCTCCACGCATTCTTCCATACCAGAAAGCTCCAGAAGACTAGGTCGGTGCCGAACGTACCACTGGCCGGAGTCAATCGAGAGGGGGGAGTAGAAAATACTCGAATAACCCCTATGCCGTGTATGCATGTTCATACCACATAGTGGTCCCAAAACGGAGCCCACTATATTGTTGTTGCCTTTGACTATAAAGTGTACATAATGTCAGGGTTTTTACAACGGGAATAGACTATTCAAATAGTTATCGACAATGATAACTCATTTCCTTAATCCTGTAATCCGGGGTTTTGGTCATCAAACCATTTACTTGGCCAACAACGTTTGGCTCAAGGTGCCCGCTAAAACAGGTGTCGTTGCTTAGTGTCACTGGCCATTGTTACATCTGTTGACTACTGCATCTTGAATACACGTGAATATTACTTCTGGTACAATCCCCGCATTCACTGGATTTACTGGAATTTTGTGTTTTCGCGATTTTGCAAAAACACTTGTTGTTCAACTTTTAGCGTTGCATTGATTTTGAAGAAACAATCATTTTTATTACTTTTGTCATTTCACTAATTTTGCAAAATCTAATGATGGGTTTCCTCAGGATTTGTTTTAAGGTTGGCTTAGGGTTTATTTAGGGTTGGTTTGGGGTTTATTTAGGGTTGATTTAGGGTTTATTTAGGCTTGGTTTAGGGTATATTCAGGCTTGATTTAAGTTTTATTTAGGGTTGGTTTAGGGGTAATGTAGGGTTTCGTCAAGGTTTGGTTTAGGGTCTACTTAGGGTTTACTTAGCAGTGGTTTGGGGTTTATTTAGGCCTGGTTTAGGGTATTTAAGGGTTGGTTTAAAGTTAAGTTAGGGTTTCATCGGGGTTTGTGCGAGGGTTGGATTAGGTTGATTTAGGGTATATTCAAGCTTGATTTAAGTTTTATTTAGGGTTGGTTTAAAAAGGCGGCTACTGTAGGGTTTCGTCAAGGTTTGGTTTAGGCGGGCCTCTTTAGGGTTTACTTAGCATTGGTTTGGGGTTTATTTAGGCTTGGTTTCGGGTTTATTTAGGTTTGGTTTAAGGTGAAAGTTGGGTTTTGTCAGGGTTTGCTTGAGGGTTGGTTTGGGCTTTACTTGGGTTGCTTTGGGGTAGGGTTGCGTTAAGGTTTCTTGAGGGACTTTTCTTGTTGTTGACGTTCCGTTTTTCCATGTTCCCATGGGTTCTTAGGTAGATAGATAGATAGATAGATAGACAGACAGACAGACAGATAGATAGCTTTCAAGGGTGAGTGACTCTTTGTTGTTGACTTTCTGTTTTCCTCCAGGTTCCTTGATCCTCCTCCCGGCTTCCGAGGGGTGGCTGACTCTCGGTTGCTGACTCTCTGTCTCCTCTTCCTGGTTTCCCTGCATCCTGTGCTAGTGTTCACCGGTGACTGACTTTGTCCTATGGGGTTCCTGACTCGGACGTTTGGGGCGACTGACTCGGGTGACTGACTCTGTCTTTGCCCACATAGGGACATAGGGACCCTGTAAGGACTCTGTAAGACTGTAAGATTGCAGTTTCATCAAAAGACCCGAGATTTGATCAAGAGATCGCACTTGCAGCGACGTTGATGTGGGCTGATTCCAGTCTCCTTCCCAAAGTGTCCTCGGGATCTGATGTGATCCTGGTGGATTGCTGCTGTGGCTGTGGCGAGGCATCATAGCGCTACGGGCCCGAGATCCTCCGAAGGCTCCAGGGCGAGAAGAGGATGGTGGTTGTTCCTGGGCTGCAGCTGGTTGGAGATGAAGAATGGCGAACAGCAAAGTTTCGGTTTGTCGTAGCAACGTTTTAATCATGTTTCTGCTACAAGATCCATAGAGATCTATAGGTCCGGTCCTTTGAAGGTGCCTTCCACAGGCTGTCCAGTTTGTGCTGCTCGGCAGTGTTCCGCCAGGTTGGCATGTCGGTTGGACAACGCTGAGTGAGGAGGGCACTTGCGCCCTGAGCGGCCGCAGCCTACAAGCACTCGATGTTACGTCCGAGGCCGGAGACCAGTGGACTCAGTAAACATCATACGGGACATGGACGGACATCCGCTTCCACCAAATATGCCTTGCAAGTCACAAACAAAGGGTTGAGACAGACATGAGGATGGTTGGATGGTTTGTGCAGTGTACAACCGTAGTTTCAAGTGACACATTTTGAGTGTTTCTTCACCTGCGATCTCGGATGATCTCAGACATCCTTTTAGTTGGCTGGAGTGCAATTGCAACAATTGAGGGAAGTTCCTTGAAGGTTTTAACATTTTCTAAAGTTTTAAGGATGGTTCTCAGCAAATCTTTCCATGCTGACATTCCGTCCCATGTCATCCGAAGATTTGAGGCGTGATTTGAAAATTTGCGGACTGTTACTGAATTACTCAAACACCACCAAATAACAAGTTTTTGAACAAAAAGTTGGTTGCAACATTAAAATCGCAAGGAAATTTGGCACAGGCATGGCCGTGCACTTCCGCAGCGTCTCGCTTTGAGCCCTGACGTTCAAGCTTCAAGCACGGACGAATTGTAAACGAAGCCTAAAAATGGAGCAGCAAGCTGACCTTCATTCCCATCAAGACCAGCGGACAGACTGTTGTTGTGGCAAGTTTAGGTGATGCTCCCAAATTTGCCACGGGCAGTGGGATAGGATGGGGCCAAGAGGTGGGCCGCCTTGAACCTCATGAGTTTTTTTTTGGTTTCCCTTAGTTTGCCTTCTATGCAGACATAGGACGGAGGGCATAGGATCATTGATGTAGGACACCAGCCAGTCACTAGAGCTGGGCGGTCCAGCTGTTCGGCCCCATGAGCGCATGGCGCAACATCCTGACTTCCCAAATGATCCCGGACCTGTCAGAATCGTCCTGTCCGTCCGGTAACGACTCAGCTGGCAGCTCAGCATCCAGCAGTGCTAGAGAGCTTTTAGAGGCCAAGTCCTGCATCGCAGCCATCGACATGGACTGCTTCTACGCTCAGTGCGAAGAACTTCGACAACCTGAGCTGAAGGGAAAACCCGTCGGCGTGCAGCAGAAAATGTTGGTGATCACTTCGAACTACGCTGCTCGTGCCTTTGGCATCAAAAAAGGCGATTCTCTACAACTGGTCCGGGAGAAATGCCCGGAGATTACCATTTGCAACGGCGAGGATTTGACCTTCTACGGGCAAGTCTCTCAGCAAGTGTTTGATGTTGCCTCGCGCTTTAGCTCCAAAGTAGAAAAGCTGGGCCTTGATGAAGTTTTTGTGGATGTGACTGAGAAAGTGGACGAGCGTTTGCGGGCAATGGCAGATGAAAACATCCAGGTGCAGGGAGTTGTGTATCCGGTGGCTGATGAGGCTGATACATTGCGTGTCGACTTCAGCTGCTCCGAGATTCAGTGTTGGAAGCGTTTGAGTGTTGCAGCCTCGATATGCCACGACATCCGCCAAGCCATCCAAAATGAAGTTGGATTGACGTCATCTGCGGGTGTGAGTGTATCCAAGTTGCTGGCAAAGCTGGTGGCATCTTGGCAAAAACCAGCTAAACAGACCATCTTTGTACCAACTGCTTCTCGACTCAGCAGCTTGTTACCAGACTCTCTGGCCATACAAAAAATCCCTGGGATTGGTTTTTCGTCAACCCAGCGTTGCAACGCGCTGGATATTCATACTATTCGCGATTTGAGTTTGGCTGCGGAATCCATTGCAGATCCCAACCACCCCTTATTGACTGCTTTTGATCCCAACACGGTCAAGACCATGCGTTTGCTATGCCTGGGCATAGACAAGGCCTCCGTAAAGGCGTCTGGGGCTCCAAAAAGCTGTTCAGCAGAAGACTCTTTCTGGCAAAATCCTTTGTCTAACACCACCGGTGTCAAGACATCTTTGGCGCTGCTTGCAAAGAAGCTCTTGTCAAAAGTCCGCAGCGTAGAGCAGAGCTTTGGCTTCCGGCCAGTCCCGACTTTGTCCCTGACCTTGAGACACGCAGGACGAGACGCTGAGCCACGCAGGGAGCGTCGACAAATGCAGCTTGGATCCTTCAAAGTTGGAAATCCAAATTGCAAGGGAAACATCTCAAGTCCCAAGGGCGACCCATTGCCTACCGAAGGTGAGATGAAGACTGACAAAGATGCAGCAGAGACCCTGTCTGTGAACGACCAGCTTCTATCCCAACAACTGGCAGAACGTGCTTTCGGCCTTTTCCAAAAGCTGGTCCCAAATGAACCGTTCTCTCTTCACATCTTAAACATTCAGGTGGGCTTCTCGGAGACGGTCCCAGGTCAACAAAGTTTGAGCTTCAAGCCGCAGCCACAGCGACACGAGGTCTCTGGCCAGGTTAGCCCGCCAGCGGCGCTGCCAGCTGCTCTGCCTCCGGTGGTAGACCTGGAGAGGGAGGAAAGGCAAGGCGGGCAAGGCGGGCAAGGCGGGCAAGGCGGGCAAGGCGCAGGCAACTCAGCACCCGAGACGCTCGAGACGCTGGAGTCGTTCGAGGCCTTCGAGACTTCGCTGGGGAGCTTGGTTGCGATGGGTTTCCAGGTGGATCGAGCCAAAAGAGCGCTGCAGAGCAGCAGATCTGTCACTGGAGCCATCGAGGAGTTGTTGAAGAGACCGCGGACACAACTGGAGTCTGTGGAGCTCGTGGAGCTCGTGGAGCTCGATTGAGAAAATAGGGGGCGGCTATGTGTATTAAACAAAAATATTTTCGACAGACGGTACAGCATGATGTAGCCTACAGCCATTGGAGTATCGGTATATATCGATATCATCAGTCCCTGGCTTGCTCTAGATAGCTCCAAGTGAACAAACCGGCCAAGATGACTAGTTTTGCCTAAAGCTCGTGAGAGAGACGCAAAGGTTTTGGACTTACTTATAATATGCCTCACCTGGTCGAGAATTGTTGTCGCAAGTAGAACGCGTTGAACAAGTTTGAGAATATGACATTTGACCTGTTTTCATTGATTTCTGCACAAGGTTCACACCGAGAAACGGTTGATGATTCACAATGATTCTTGAAGGGTTTGAGGCATTTTGAGGCTTTAAAAGCTCAGAGTGTGGGGAGCGTTGTGAAGGAAGAGGCCTTGCTGGAGCGGATGGTCGCACGCCTGGCAGTGGATGTCCGGAACTCTGGTGGCCTGGTCAAAGAATTCGCCGTTCCTGATCTGGTTGGGCCTGATGCTTGTGGTTGGAGATGAAGTGTTAAAGTCTAAAACATCTAAAAGCCTTAGTCGTTCATGGAGGTCAAACAAAAATTCATGGAGTGAATAGGGTCGGACTTTCTGGTGCTTTTGGGCCTTCGGTATGTTTCATGAATCAACAAACCTGGGTGACTCCTGCTTGGCACCCCAAGTCTTCCCGGCTTTGCTATGTGGCTTGTGTGTTTCACCACAAAGACCATTTGAGAGCTTATGTGCCGCCGCACTTGCTTTGCGAGTGCACAGGGCACAGGACAAGAACAGAAGAGAACAGAACAGCGCCCGAGGCAAGCCCTTTCGGCGCTTCAAAAAGTGGCTGGAGGAACAACCTCCCTACGACATCGTCATAGATGGCGCAAATGTGACCAGACTCAAGGTGATGACTGATTGAAGGATATTGAAGATGATTTCCAAAGTGAACCTGATAATTCCCTGGGGTAGCACCATGTTGCTAAGGTTCATGCAATGATGCCATCTTACTCGTTTTACCATTTTTGGTATGATTTGTTATCTTCAGTGAGTCAACCCAAATTTGCGCAAGAATGGATTGCTGTCCTGTCTTGTCTCATTTGCTCCTAGAGTCCTAGCTTCAGAGCGACTCCATCCTCTGACTTTAGATTTTCAAGCCTTTGAGGTTGGCTTCAACAACCAGAACCGCGAGGGTGGCCTGCGCCTAGGCTCTTGTTTTGCCGTTGTGGAAGCTGTAAGTGACGACGCAGAAGAAGCGAAAAGAAAAGGCCTTTGTAGCTTTGAGTGAGGTCTCCTGTCGCTTGGCCAAGGTTTCAGTACAGCCAGATCGATGCGGTCATAGACAAACTCCGAGAAAATGGTAGCCGAGTCCTGCTCGTGTTGCATCCAAAGTGGTTGCGTGAGGATGCTGATCGGACAGTGATAAAGAGGAAGAAACGAAAACTCGAAGCTTGGTGATGCACAGATGTAGGACATCCGACTGTTTTCGAAATGTACACCTATGGCAATGAGTATTGATGCTCTTATGTCACAAGTTCGTAATCATAATCATAGTGCATCATAATCATAGTACTATGTGGCACGTTTTGGCACTGTGTGATCGTGGCCCAGAGAATCTGTGACATTTCAGATGCAGTCAAAGCAGTCTTGAGGACCAGATCAACATTGAGGGTGCCATGGGCTCCTCCGATGATTCTGCCGAGCAGGAGTGATATGCCTGATATGCATAAGCATCGCTGTTCCCGAAAAGACTGAAAGAGAAACCATAGAAACCCTCTCAAAATCACAAATAAATCAAATAAAATCAAATAAACATATTTACCAAAGTCCCGTTACAATGTCAAGCCAACAAATGCACCCACAAAAGACTAGACCAGTCTACCGTCGTTTGGTATCTCATGGCCAGACAGAGCCTTGACTTGTTTTAGCGTGGTGAAAAAACGCAGGAGGGCGAGCCAGAGATTCAGTATCCCTTTGATTCAAGGCTGCAAGAAGTGGTTGTGGCTGGGGTGTAGCTGAACCTTCACATACTTGAAATGTGCCGAAATATGCGCACAAACGTGTTCAACTACTATATAATATACATGATACAATCGTATATCTATATTATGTAGATCTATGACATATGATATACGTGATTACATAGGTCTACGTATGTAACTTTGTTACACATTATGATGCCAAAAGTACACCAGTGCCCCGTGTCTTACCATCCCTTCACTAAAGATGCTCCATCGAACCCGGCTATTGAAGGGTTTGATTGGTAAGCGTTGACTCGCTGCATGGTTTCCAACTGAGGATCCAATCACAGAGGCAGAGCGCGAGGCGCAAGAAGGTACGCCTTTGGCCTTCATCCGGAAATGGAAGGCCCTTTCTGCGTTGAATCCGGACCTGTTTGATGGCGTTTCATCTTGTTTGACGTGAGTTGCACTGATCATGATCTTATCATTTTTGATCATTCTTGGATAGTTTGGCTTGCGCGGGTAAAGTGTGTAGGCTTTTGAGAGTTTGGGAAGGGGCACCACGCAGCACTCTGCAAGGAGACTGAATGCTTAGTGCGTGTGCCTGCGAAGGATTGTGACTCGGACAGTTGCACGGCAAAGGATGGTCAGGGAAAGTGGACAGGCTTTCAACTGCATTGGTGCTTGGTTTGGGCTTAGTCTACTTGGCAACTCAGATGTGAACGTTTGGGGATGAAATGGCAAGACTTCCAAGGGGCACTGTGTGGATCTCTGTTGCTTGACTTCAAGACTTCCAGGTGATGATTGGTACTGGCTCTTTGCGGCGCTCTCGTCTGCGAGACGGGGCGCTCGTCATGTCCAAGTAGCTCCCTGGCTTAGAAGGGACCTTGGACTTGCCGCGTGATTATGCTGTTTGCTGTTTGCCAGCGATTGGTCCTGCCCTTTTGGATGCAGGGACTTTGCAAGTAAAGCAACGTCAAATTCTCCAGTTCTCGAGACACTATCATGGGACACCGGTGCCATTTCAGTTGTCTACGTCAACCTGTGGCAAAGGATGAATGTCATGATGATGTGAGATTCAACACATGCGTTTCCAAAGCTGGGCAGCAGAGATGCTTGAAAGGTTTCTCCTTAATGGACTGGAGTTTACCTCTCACCTTCTGTGAGCAGCAAAGGTCAGCAATGATCACATGAGAGACCACCACTGGCGAATGGTTGGCTTCCTGGCTGCATGTTTAGATCGGTGCCGCTACCATTGTATTTTCAGACTTTCAATGTCGTATGAACTGAGGCAATCGAGCATTTCTGAAATGGCAAGGACGACATATGACCAGGGTCAGCATTTGGTCCGAAACGTCAGATGTCGAGAATCTTGGTTTTGCATGTTGAATGCTGTTGCGTGCTGCCCTTGACACTGCTGTCACGTGCTAGGGCACGCTGTGTCTAGATAATTTTCTTGCGCCTGTTTCTGCATTGGCTTGCTCTCAGGAATTGCAAGGTGACGCTAACACCGCCGGACCTGTACTCCATGCAAGCGCAGGCCCGCTTTTCCGGGCAAATGTTGCAGTTGAGTTTTGGACCTCCATGAGCAAATTGCGGACCCAATGTGGTGCCATCAAATGATCAAACATATTTCACTCCATGTTCTGCTTGTCAATGCTCCTCTCCAAATTCTTTCTCTCTGTTCTCTCTGTTCTCTCTGTTCTCTCTGTTCTCTCTGTTCTCTCTGTCTGCTCTCTCTCTCTCTCTCTTGCGTCTCTGTGTCTCTTGTCTCTCTTGCGTCTCTTGCGTCTCTTGCGTCTCTTGCGTCTCTTGCGTCTCTTGCGTCTCTTGCGTCTCTTGCGTCTCTTGCGTCTCTTGCGTCTCTTGCGTCTCTTGCGTCTCTCGTGTCTCTCGTGTCTCTCGTGTCTCTCGTGTCTCTTGTGTCTCTTGTGTCTCTTGTGTCCCGTGTCTGTCTCTCTCTCTCTCTCCCACATCTCTCTCCCGCATCTCTCTCCCTTTCACCCTCTCTCTGCAGTCGCAGTGTTACTGTAGGAGATGCCATCAGCATTTGACGACCAATCTTCTGACTCGGGAGGTTTCTGATGATGTCTGTGCGTGGCACTTTCCGGTGCCCTTCGTGCCTAGCCGAGCGCAGCAGCTCTCCAGCGGGCGGCCGCTACCACGCAAGGCGCAGAGCGTGGTGAATGCTGTAGATTTGCCAGATGCAGGTGTTCGTGATGTACTTCAGAATTGTGGCAGAAGTATAGGCTTGCCATCTCTAGGGCCACCGTAGGATACATCTTGGACAGCAGTTTTGCCCAGTCAAATGTCGCTGCATGTGAAGGAGATTGAATCTGCGGAGTGTCATTGGTTAGCTGCATGGCGGCTAGCCAGCTGACTTAGACGCAAAGGTTTCACTCAGTTATGCCCCCAACCCCCGCAAAAGCCGGAAGCTGAAGGCAATCTGTGGGCTGCGTCTTAACTTCTTAACTTATCAGGCAGCAAGAATCTGGGATGAGAAAGATGCGCCTATGTAGCCGAAAGAACACCGTTTCACGGCCATGTTCTGCATTTTGCCAATCAGCTTTTCTGTACAGTAGCATCGCGGCAGCAAAAGCTACCTATGCAGCTGATGGTTCTATGATGTTCGATGCTTGCATGGCAGGTTGACCGATTTGACCCGTGTGCACCGTGCCCGGCCGTGCCCGGCCGTGCCTACTTTGTTGCGGGACAGCGTTTGGCTCGAGCTCATGCCTTGGGTCACCGCAATGTCTAGTTGAGCCCAAACTGCCAAGAGGGACTTTAATGGCAACCGTGCTGCGGAAGTCAACTTTTTTAGTGTTTTTGGTGTTGGCAGTTGATGCCAACCGTTGTGATGAAGAAACATTGCTGAAACAGAGGTGGGCCCGGTTGGGCTCTCTGGTTCCCTTTTGTGCTTCGAGAAATGCTATGAACCACTTGCAGCCACTTGCAAAGAATTCCGCAACCCCTTCTGCCAGGCTGCGAGGGGAACGAAACCATACGAGTTTGAACCCTCTGGGGCTAGAGCTGTCTGACGGCAAACTCGACTTCCTTGCTGAAGACAATGCACCGTACACAGCGCAGGAGGCCGGTGTTTTTTAAATTGCCAAGCACTGAGTAGCTTGAGGATGCTTGATGCTTGAGGAGTATGAAGAAAAAGGTCAGACCCGCCAGAATCCAACAGCTTGTGGGCAAGTGCTTGTGGATGACCAGTTGGGGACCATTTATCGACTATCAACTGGCCCAAACACCTCTCAGGGGGGTTGTTGCATGTTGTTGCTGGGATCCTTCTGATCCTGTAGGGACCGAGCTTACACTGCCACACACTGCCTTTTATTCATTAGGTTGGATGCATTGCTGCCAACATGGCCAGCAACATGTTCCGGAATGGCACAGTGGTTGCTGCGCCTGCGAAGGCCTCGGGTGTTGAAATAAAACTTAGCTAGAGCCAATCCATCAAGGTGACAAGCGAAGCTGACGTTCTAGTTTCGGATCTGTGGGCTCTGTCAGATATCCACATGATAAGTAAGTACAAGAACCGCATGCCGCGTAGAGCACGCGGATGTACGGACAGGTTGATAGGCAGCCCAACGAGTCATGTTGCGAGGTATCCTCCAATCACAGCAACGACTACTTCTTCATGTGGCAGCGGGATGCGGCCATGTCAATGCGATCGCTGCTGCGTGTCATTGTGGATGCACCTAATCGAACCTTTGCTTCTTCCATGAGCACCTTGGCGGCCATTGGCGTGCTTGGTGTGATTATGTGTGATTTAAATTGAGGCTTTTACAAATTTTTACAACACGTTTGGGCGCCAGGTCATGGTCAGATATGGTCCGGAGATGTCCGGAGATTTGACTGCTAAGCTGCTAAGGCAACACGACCTCGGCGATCAGGAATCAGTTCATGTCCTACACGCTTTTGTTGCCGCAGCTTTGGAACCAGTCAGATCCAAACACTTTGTGTCCTCCTTGGTACAAGGATGGAGGGGACGATGGAGGGACGCCTGGGTTCAAATGCTCATGTCAGCTAGTTGCTGTGGATTTTGCACAGTTTTTGTTTCCCTCCCCTCAGAGATTAAGCAGTAACGTGATGTAACGTGATTTGTAGTCACATTGGGAAATTTGAAGATTTTGGCATGCACCAGCTCCAGGAGACACCTGGTTGGTGTGTTCCCATGGGAGAGCCCAAGTACTTCGTGAATGGTTCGGTGTACACTAAATCTTGGGGCCGACCTCAGAGCCTTTGCGCCAGCAGTGTTTTGAATAGCATGCAAATGGGCTGTCAGAAACAGACAAGCAGTCAGCAGTGTTATTAAGTCCTGTTTTTTTTCTTCAGTGTGTGTAGCTCTGGGATCTGTGAACAGTTTGCATTTATCCTGACTCTTGAAAGGTTTGTGGAATGCTGGAAATTCTGATGCAAACTTTCATATAAAGCAAGTTGCTGGAAGAGGTCAGTGAGGTAATTGAACGTATCTCTTGTTTGGACAGGATGATAAGCTCGGCCAACAGAATGCCGGATTGTCGAGAACTTGTAACAAGCATGATTCAGCATGATGCAAACAAACGCACTCTCCAATGTCAAGCCTGGAATTTTGGCTGTTAAGCTATGTTGAAGTTAAAACCGCAAGAAATATAAGAAATGCACTCTGTAACACTGTACGCATGCGATGAAGGCATTTTTCTTGTGTCAGGAATGATGGCCCTGCGCTTGCAGCAGTTTTCATGGGAGAATTCTTCAACGCAATCCTTGATGTTGAAGATGAGGTCCCAGGCCGAACCTGGACTCCTAGGACTCCCAGGACTCCTAGCGCTACCTCAATAAAATAAGCAAAATACGTTCAACCTGTGGATCATCATTTGTCTTCAGCTCACAATGAACAATGAGTCTGAACCTCATGCTGACTTGACTTTGATAGGGTTGTTAAGAGTCGTTAACAGTTGTTTTGTAGTTGTTTGATTTTGTTTTGTACTGTTTTGTAGCTGTTTGGGCTGCCTATTTAAAAATTCGGATACATTTGGCCTGCATTTGGCACTTCTGGCACCGCAAGCACTCCCTGCAGATGCAGATGAACTGCAGCAGAAGATTTTAGGTGGAGGTGCGTGCTGTTGGCGGAGTGTCATGGTGTAGGGCGCAACAATCCCCACGATATGAGCGAGCCAAGGTTTTGATTTTGTTATTCACAGAGTGTGACACAGAGAGATGTGAGTTGATGTGATTCGTTGAATTCATCCATGGGACAGTTTTTTGTTTCGAAACAATCTTTTTTTTGCGCTCTGCAGGTGGCACTACTGGCGTCCTTTATGATGCCCTGAACTTTGTGAAGCTCAGCCTGAAACATTTGAAACTTCTTATGGTATGGTCACTTCTGGTCAGTTATAATGGTCTTTAAGTAGTCGTCAGTGACACAGATAGGAAGAACTCCAAGAAGCCTGAGGAGTTTGGAGGCTACATGCATTCATGATCATTCATGTTCAAGCGCGTGGTGCCAGTAGCAGAAAGCGGTATGATTTGCGTTTTGCGAAGAGATCTTGTTTGTTTTGCATGGTAAGCTTCATGCAGTGTGCTGTGGCCTGACTGATCTACTTCTTGCATCAGGAACACCTGGTACAACGAGGGTTCTGTCGGCCCCTGGGAAGAGGTCTATGGAAGACAATTCTTTGTCAGCGAGGTGGGGCTTTGACAAAAACGGATCTGATAGCAGTGATCTCAGCTTCAAGGTGATCTCAGCTTCAAGTATTTGCGCAATTTTGCACATACAAATTAAATCAACTGAAGACCACCATGTAACATCAACCTCTCAAACAGATCAATGAAGTAAACAACTTGCTGGATGCCAATCTCAAGAAGCCGATTGCCATCGATTTCCGACCCGCGCAAGGTCCAACGGCTTGCACTCAAGGAAGGGGTGCGTGTGTGCAACCGCAAGGGCTTCAACTCCAGCGTGCAATGGCCAAAGTCAGGCTATGCGAATTGGGTGTACAGCGTGTCTGGGCCAAAACTGGACCAACAAATACAGAAAACAAAGCTCCCTTGGTCCATAGAAACATGACGGTAGGCAAGTCGTTGCAATCCTGGAAGCTTCCTGCTCTGCATGAGGGAAACGTTTTCCCTTCTTTTTGGTACGCCTTTGCCGCTACTTTGCATTCATTTGCAATGTCGTTGGTTTAAGTGCATTCTAGGCAAAGAACCTGGCAACCGTATCCAAGTCTTTCATCTCAGAGGACTGGAAGAAGAGCGTACAGTAAAGATGGGAGGGAAGTGACTCAGTACTGGCAAGGCCACATGTGCAAGTGGGTGACGTCATCCCACAGGGTATTGAGGGGCCATGAGATATTGGAGATCATTGATGTTCCAAGATTTTCCAATGATCGCAAGGACTTGGTGCAAGCGACCGCCGGCAGGCAGCAAGGATTAGCTGGGCCGAAGTGTTCCAACTCTGAGCCTTGGATTCTCCAGTCATCTCCAGTCAGGATTTGTTATATTTGTTCTTCTTGACCTTGTGAGCAGTGCCTCCTAGTCACCTAGTCCTAGTGATAAACAGGTGACCTGAAGAACTTGCAGCTCCACATAGCTCCACCATCATCGTCTTCAAATTTTGCTGTCCAAGGAGCCCTTGCTGCAGAGCACGGGGGAAGTTTGGCCAAAAGATCTAAGAAGTCCATGCGAATTGGATGTGCAGACTTTGATTGTCACAAACTTTGTGGCTGCTGGGATTGGAGAGACTTGGATGCAGACATTTACCCGGAGAAAAGAGATGTGAGCCTTCTATGATTTGCGCAATTTTGAAGCATCTGCCCTTAGCGACTTGTTCACTATTATGATTTATTTTGCAGATTGTTTGGACATGTGGTGGGCATTGGCTTGGCAGCCGTGGTTTATATGGTTTTTCCATCGCCGGTGTGAGGATCCAGTGCTACCACCGCATGACCATCGAATAATCAACACAGCTGGCAAAATCGTCGAGTGATTTGGCAGAGATGGCATTGGCATGGCACTTTTCATGAACACGTTTCGTACTTTTGACATCTTTTGACATCTTTTGACATGTTTTGACCACAACCCAATTGACAAGGCATTGAACATTGGCAGATATCAGCAACAGACCTTGCCAGGTCAATGGCTCGGTACTATGAAGTGAATGCTGTCGATCGCACAAAAGGACAGACGCTGTGTGCTTTCTGTCGCCATTGCCAGAACTGCCCCATTTGGCTCACATTTCACAAAGATTTCACAAAGATTTCACAAAGGTTTCACAAAGATTTCACAAAGATTTCACAAAGATTTCACAAAGGCTAGCTGCCTGGCTGAAGCCCCTCTTGCTTTAGAGGTATTGGCAGGGGCTGGAATCTCAAGAAAGTTTCACAATTACACCTCCCCCTCCCCCTGGAGGGATGCGTATTGAGACATCCTGGATCATCATGGTCAGTAGCAGCGTATTCATGAACCATGATACGACATCTTCATGCTCGCTCCTCCCCCCTCCCCCTCATCACCATCACCACCACCATCACCATCATGATCATCTTTTTCATGAGCACGGGACTTTTTCATGAGACATACGCATGCAATGCTTTGCGTTCCAAACCTCCGCCTCGATGTGGGGGTGGAGTTTTGACGCCATGATTGCCCCACACGTCAAGCAGTACCCAACCGGCTAGCTCTCGTTTCTTATCCCTTGGCCTCAATGGAGAAATGTTTGAGAGAACAAGACCTACCACCATGAAATGAAGGGTCTAGAGAAGGGACCTTATGTATAATTTGAATTAATTGGAATTAATTTGAACTAATTTAAAATTTGATATGGTTTTCATATGTTTTCATGTTAAATTATGTTTTAATGACCTTATTTGCACAAGACGATCTCCACAGGCTTGGTGGGCTTGCTGATTGGGCGGTACCCTGGGGACACGACTCTTGGTAGAACGTTTTCCAGACTGGTCCTGTTGATCCTGTTGGCCCTTTCAAGAGAAAATTGACATAAATTGACTATGGTGTAGGATTACAGGATTCACTCTAAATGTACTTTGAAGACATAGGAAGAGAGTACGCACGTATATGCACCTACTGATTACTTAGAAAGCATGCTGGAGTGCATCGAAAAGGTATTGTATTCTTATGTTTTCTTTGCCTTGGGATCTTTAGGCATTTCACACACTTGTGACATGAAACACTGTGCGGTGGCGTATGTTGTAGTAGGTACAATAACAGCACAGATTGGATCGTGGCAGTATGCTAATGTAATTGCACAATATAGTCATATAGTTTCATATATATAGTCATGACATGTCATGACTATAAGTCTGACTATATAGTTTTTTTTCGTTTTTTTTCTTCCTCTCGGGCGTCGAACATGATATATCCAAGTCCAAGGTACTGCGGCTACGGTGCCTGCGCCAAAACAGACTACGGGAACCCATGGTTTATTGCTACGCATGCCTTGGCTGAATTTCTGTGCCTTGGTCTCAAAGTGTTTGAAAGAAATCGTGAAAGGATCATGAAAGGAATCGGAGTGAAAATGGTTCGAATATGTTGGAGTGGGTACAGTGGACATCAGAATCCTTGTTCAATTTGTTCAATGATTCATGTTTGTCCAGGTACTTTGTGGCGCGTGCATGGTGCCAAGACCGCTTGACCATTGAGGATGCCAAAGCACTGTCGGTGCTGTGGAAACAGCTTACTCGCGGTGCTGCGACTGGATTGCAATTTCGAACTCTCAGTGCTAGTCATGGCTAGTCTATTGTGTGCATTTGCGTCCCTGATTGTGGCTGAGCTAAGTGTTCTTTTTTGGTGGTGAACTAAGTCCATGTCAGAAGGATTCGTGTGAGCGGCGGCACGTTATGGAGAGTTGTCAGGTAACTGGCTGGAATGCACTTGAGATGGCGGACTCAGTGATGAAGAATGCCAAGGCAATCACAAACGGGGAAAACAACAGTGCTTTCATTCCATGCTCCAATGATCACCGTGATCACCTTCTAAACGCGGCTTTCCTTTGTAATCAACTCAGCTGACTTGTTTGGAAATTTTGAAACTCCTTTGGCGTTTCCCACTCAATTCCTGCCTTCCAGGCACACGTGGTGATGCCTGGGGTCCACATGTCAGAGCAAATCAAGAAGAATGGGCCAGACGTAGGTGCCACATCTGAAAAAGTTCACGCAAATCGATGCCGATGCAGGTTCTGCTTGAAGCTGTTTGAGAGGATGATCAATCTATTACCAATCTATTACCAATCTATTACCAATCTATTCAAAAAAAATCAAAAACGTCCTGTGCACCCGTGGGACGGTCCAATTCCCTCAGGTGCCTAAGCCAAGCGCCAAGCATAGCCAAGCATAGCCAAGCTGCTAAGGTCAGCAAGCAGGTGTACCAGATCTGACCTGGTCCTATGCATCTGCCCTATCCGCACTTTTGGCGCGGCACAAGGCAATTGCAGCCTGCAGGCTGAGGGGTTGTTCGGGTGCCTGTCGGGGTCGGTGACTCCTTTGCACAGCTTGATTTTCTCCCAAACGGTCGCATTTATATACGAATCTCCGTGTGATTCTGTATGATTTTTGCATATCTGATTTCCTCCCATCTTTGACGGGGATGCTGCAGGAAAAATTAGCCGCAGGCAGCTCAGCCGGATGCATGCAAGGCGCCTCGGGTAAGATTGTGCCGGTGTAGAGGATAGAGGCGTGTAAGCAATTGCAGTATGCAAGCAGGGAGGTTTAATGTCATTGCTGTCGCATAATTAGTGGTAGTAAGTAAGATGGGAGAAACATCAGAAACCGCCGAGCATCATCAGTAGTTTCCATTCAGAGCTTTCTTCATGCGGACAGACGCACATACAACTGCGGAATTCACCTTTCACTGCCTTTCACACTTTCGCACTTCAGTTTGTACTACACAGGCGGCGAACAAGCGCTTTAGAAGCATGCATTGTATTGGTGGTTCGGGGATGAGCTCAAACCCAATTCGAAGAAATTCGAAGCCTTGATTGATAGGTGGCCCCTTTATAGATTTTAACGAAGGGGCCTTCGGTTTGAAGGCACAAGGCACATTTGCAATGGCCGAAGTCCTGCGTACAGAGCTGCGCATCGGTTCCACCAGCACAAGTCAGTGGAAACGACATCGAATACAATGACTACATTCGAACACTACCAATTGAGTAGTGGGGATCTCCATCCAGGTGCTTGTCTTTTGAGCGAGCAGATGACAGCATCCTTTGCTATCTTTGCTGGACCGTGGCTGCAGCTGCTAGAACGTTTCTCTTTGAACGGAAGCGGAGTAAGTCGGAGAAATATGTTCATCTTATTTCACCTCAACGTTTCTGATATTTTGTGGTCTAGGAAGTCTGCAGAGCTTCTCTCCTTAGCAGCTGCGACGATCAATCTTTCCTGGTCGCTTCGTTTTCGCTTGTGGAGCGAGTGAGAGCCTGGGTTGGTACACGCCGAAGTGCTCCAAAAGCTTTGCTGCCAGTGAGGTCTCAGAGCGATTCATGTTGATACAGTAAGAGCCCGACCAACTGCGACTAACTGGATCAGAACATGTTCTACATAACTGCGACTAACTTGTGTAATACTAGTGTTCATGATGTCTGTTGAAGCGAACTTGATTCTCATTGGCTACGCGGCTATGCATTGCTGAGACCATTTGGTTCAAACCAAGCCCTTTCAGCGGCGCTTCGACGCATCGTCCCAGCTTTCAGCCACTGGTTTGCAAACAGAGCAGGCTCAGAGCAGGAGAGAATCCCAGCTCCGCAGTGAAGCTGCTCAGGATCCAGTCTTCAAGCATGGGCTGATCTGGCACGTGTTTGTTTGATAGCAATGCTGCCCTCAACTCCAATGGACTTGGGATGACTTCGAAAGCCAGGCTTCAACCGTGGAAACACTGTCTTGGCGTTGGGACCGGAGAAGTGCGCTTGGAGAATTCAGATGGATAGGATGAACACATATACAGGAGGACTTTTATTTACCATTATGTAGTCAGCGTTGCTAGTGCTGTTCACAAGTTATCAATCTGTGGTTTAGCGTTTTGCCAACATCGTGTTTTGCCAGGTACCGACCCACAAAGACGCACTTTTGGAAGGGCACAGAGGAGATTCGTCACTTCATCTCTGTGGGACCCAGCTTGACCTCGATTCGGAGTGCCAGAAGGATTTGCCTTTCTCTGAGCCCACTGGTTCAGTGGCCAATTGAACCAGTGAACTTCACTGAACTTCGCCCCATGATGGCTCCCCTTTCATGGCTCAGCCGCTGAACATGTTTGGCATCACCAGGAGCTCGAGCGCTTCCCACCATCTTACAACGAGACGGACGAAGTCTTCGAGGTGCGCTGGACACTGTTGCCCGGCGGAGCAGGTCGACCTTCCCGTCTTCAGTCCCAACTAAGCTACGATAGCATCGATAGCTACAGCATGCTAAAGCATGCTACAGCCAGCCTTGCTGTTCAGTGCGATTCAGTGGTCAGTGGTCATGAGCCCCGCTTCCAATTGCATGCCTCAGGAGTACCTTGGCAACCGCTCACTGGCACCTTCCCGGCACCAGCTTGCACTCAGATCATCGCCGGAGGGCCCAGACATTGTGGGACCGCTGTGGTTCTTCAGTTTGGTCGGAGCCAAGCAACAAAGATTTTGTTTGTTCCAACGTTTTCTTCTCCCTGACTCCAGTTGCAATATTTCTTTAAGCATTTTGGCAGGTACAGTAAGTCCAGTTTCATTCTCAGTGGCCGTGATGTCAGGTCTGGCTTGATGGAGTTGCATTATGAGACGATGAGGACTGCAAACCAGGATTTGAGGATTTAATCTGCAGTTGACTGTCAAAAACCAGTGGTTGAGCCGCTTGTCGGATCAAGACCCATGCAGCAGGCCCATGCATGTATAGACCTGGGTGCTGCATATTTGCGCTGGTATGGCATTATGGTGGGAGATCATATGAGCCATATGGGGATGCTTTGTTGAATGAAGGCCAGTTTGTACGAGAGTTCCGTAGCATCCGCAACCACGTATCGCTTGAAGAGAACTCTGTAGTTCTCTTCAAAGCGCAGGAAGAAGGCGAAGGAGCGCGCTGCGCACCCGGTGCAGAAGAAACTGCCCAGTATGGACAGGGCCCCTTGGACCTTTCAGCGACACATAAGTCACATATATATTATATAAGCGTTGCAGATCTTGCAGATCTTGCAGATCTTGCAGAGCTACAGTACATTCTTTGCCTGTGCAAGACAGTTTGTACAATCACTGTTTCTTCTCATGAAAGCACCTCTTGAGATTCACAATATGGGACGGCCAAGTGTGATGCAGTCGTTGCGGCTGCAACCTGGAAACCTCAGGCCTACACTGCTTGTGCAGGCTACAGTGGCATCTTGGCCTTGAAGGAACCCTGCACGGTCCACATCTGTATCTCTTGGTATTTGTTTGCTTATGTTTGCTTATGTTTGCTGATGTTTGCTTGGTTGGACATGTTTCGAAGCGAACCGCAAGTCGCTTATCATTTCATGCCATTTCATGCTGAACTCTCAGGCTTGATTCCTGGCAAGATCAGCAATGGAATCGTTCAGCACTTAATCTCGGGATGCTGATGACAAACTGCACAAAGGTTTCGGGGTGTTTCATGGCATGTCTGGGATTTATTTTCATGGCCAGCAACCCTCCGGGATCGGCTGTGTGCATACTGTTTTCAAGCTAGATTTGGCAAATTCCGATGAACACGGTTTGCACATACATCAAGGTGGAGTCCGTTGGCTTATATCATCCGTATAGGTCGTGCATATTTTTGACATACATACACACACATTGTGTGTGTGTGTGGAACATCTGAAGAGATGTAAAACTTCTACCTTGATTGACGGAATTGTTTTTTCTATCTTTTTCTTATCAGGTTCTTTGCCATTACAATGAGCCAGGTTTGAGTACAATCTCCTTTTCAATTGCAGGGGGCGTGACGGTTGATTTCCTAGTCACGCCAACGAAGCTATGGAAATCAACTGGATGGAAGTTTGGACGCAAACTTCTGTACCTGCGGTGTCGCTCCTGGGCGCATTCAAGTCGCAGCTGGGGGACACGTCATACTGTGTTTTCTGTCGTTGTTTCACTGCATTGCCAAGTGACAACCAAACCTCTACCTGAGGACTTCTTTTGGATACGGTTATCGCAATCTGTCAGTACTGAAGATTCGTTTTGACTCTCTTTCGAGTCTGTTCTCAACTCTCTCCTGTCCATACAGAGAACTCATTTTGACTCTCTTTCGAGTCTGGTCATCACTTAGCTCCTGTCAGGTTTTACTGAAGTGTTTTTTCACGTACGATGCGTTCCACATCAGAATTCGCAAAGATGTTTCTGAGCAAGTGTGTGATTCATGCTGGATTCGTCAAGGTGGCGTGAATCCTTCGGGGAATACCTTTCCAGGTAAAGTCTTGACACTTTGAAACGACCTCTGAATTTACATTTTTGAATTAGTAATTCGTTTCAGTAAAGTGAAGCAGCCGTTCACCTTTCAGCTTCTCTCCCGTCGGTCGAGTTTGTGTTGAAACAGCTTCCCGCTGTACCAGGGACTCGCCTTTTTTTAGGAGTGAGTGTGTCTCCAGAGTAGCCAGCTGAAAGCCGCGACAACATCGGTTTTTCAATAGTGCCCAAGAGAGTACGGAGCTCGACATTCTACAACATGACATGTGACCATGTGGAGGCATCAGGACATTCCTGCAGGTTTGGTGATTTTTTTTTGGGTCGTTGGTGAGGTTCAATTGTGCACGTAATTCAGGGGTTGACAACTTAAGCCATTTACAGGGTTGTGACATGAAAGCCGAGGGCCTTTGAGCCTTATCACGAAAAATGCACGTAATGTGGATGCATTTTATTTCATCAACTAGTTCCCCATTGGTCCCCCTATCTCGTGCGCGCTTTCCTCTCTAGGTCAGGTTTGGGCCCTTCGCGTTCCTAGGTAGGCTTTGGCTCTCGTCTTGTAGGTTGTGTCAGGCGCTTCTGTCCGCCCCCCCTCCTCTGGTTGGTTTTCTGGCGCGTCGTCCGTCCGCTTTCCCTTTTTCCTTGCCCTTTCAGGGTTTGCCCGTTTCGGGCCAGGTGTGTTGGTGTTGGTGTTCTCTCTTTTTCCTTTTCCTTTTTGCGTTCCCCCTCTTGTGTTCCGGTTAAGTAATTGTCATCTCATTTTCATCGTCATCTCATTTTCATCTTTCCTTCATCTTCACCTTCATCTCATTCGTCGGGGCCTTAAAAAGCTTCGCGGCAGCGGGGCGTGCGCGTGGAACATTTAAAGAGATGTAAAACTTCTACCTTGATTGACGGAATTGTTTTTTCTTATCAGGTTCTTTGCCATTACAATGAACAAGGTTTGAGTACAATCTCCTTTTCAATTGCAGGGGGCGTGACGGTTGATTTCCTAGTCACGCCAACGAAGCTATGGAAATCAACTGGATGGAAGTTTGGACGCAAACTTCTGTACCTGCAGTGTCGCTCCTGGGCGCATTCAAGTCGCAGCTGGGGGACACGTCATACTGTGTTTTCTGTCGTTGTTTCACTGCATTGCCAAGTGACAACCAAACCTCTACCTGAGGACTTCTTTTTGATACGGTTATCGCAATCTGTCAGTACTGAAGATTCGTTTTGACTCTCTTTCGAGTCTGTTCTCAACTCGCTCCTGTCCATACAGAGAACTCATTTTGACTCTCTTTCGAGTCTGGTCATCACTTAGCTCCTGTCAGGTTTTACTGAAGTGTTTTTGCACGTACGATGCGTTCCACATCAGAATTCGCAAAGATGTTTCTGAACAAGTGTGTGTGAAGGTCATGTTCTGTGGCTGGCCGTGAGCCATTGAAGGATGTCAACATGTGTTGACCCTTTGCAGCTTTTCGGGCCCATGTATACATATCATATGCATATGTATTTATGTCGTATTCATATGGCTTCAGATATGTAGATATGAAGAGGACATAAGAGGACGAATCACCTACACGTGTACTCCTAATAAAGATCCATGCCCGATCAACCTGCCCCAACAGCTCAGCTTTCTCAGAGTCGGCAGAATGCCCAGGCGCTGTCAAACATCGTAGGATTCTGTAGAATTCCATAGGATCATAGTGTCACAACTGTCCCAGTGACTGTCACAGTGAAGCTTCGCCATGCTTCGCCTATGCATGGCTCCAAAGACTGAGCTGTGAGCGGAGAGCTTTCGGCGGTTCGAGTGATGGGAACGTGTCTTGCACGCAGTGTGGATTGGCGTGAGGGCTGCAGCTGTTTCAAGGTGCGGTTGCGTAGATTCTGGGTTGCCATTGGTTGCCCAAAAGTGCTTCCTTGGGCCCAGGCTTTTCAGCCAAAGTCAGGAGACTCATTACTTTTCATCTCTGACAGGGGCCGCTGCGCTTGTATGTGGATTCGCAAGATAGTCCTTGGCTGCTTGGCGCTTGCAGTGGGATGTTTGATGATGTTCGCCTAAGTTTGAATCTTGTCTCCTTTGAGTGCTTTGCTTTTAGCGCTGATGCTTCCAGCCAACGTTCAGCAGATGGGCAGATGGGCCTCTGACTGTGGGCTTCGAGGCACTTCTTCTCGACTCCAGATCTCAATTCCCCAGGTCAGCTGCACTGGGGGAAAGAGAGGGGTCCAGATGGTCGTCGGGAGCCTCTTCCAATCAGATTTGCAAAGTGGGTCTTAGTGACTCAGAACTCTTGAAGTTTGGCCGAATGGCTGGCTTTGCTGGATGTCTTGCACTCTTTCAAGGGACTCGTTGGCTGGTGGTTGAAAGTTTGATTTTGGGTGGACATGGGTGGTCACGCATGGCGTTCCCTTTTGCATATATTTTTTCGACACTAGTACAGCCAGCCACACTCAGTTGGCGTTGGGTAGATGTCCTTGATTGTAGACTCTAAAGAGAACAACATGACAATACGCAATGGCAAAGTGCCTGCGTTTTGGTGGGTGCAAATTGAGGGCCTGATTTTGTCCACTGAATATCCTTTGACAAAAGGATGTTTCTATTATATCCTTTGCAATTCTACTGTGTTCTACTGATGTTCATGCATCTTGCAGGTGGGACGAACTCGCCAATGAAACGGGCGAGAACCTGGAGCTCGAGTCAACAGAAAGAGCGCTATAGTGACTGGACCGAAAATCCGAAATTGGTTTGTCAGCGATGCTGAATCTTTCACACACATAACGCAGGATTGTCAGTCCACATGCATATCGTATATCGTTTAGCTGAGACGCATTGAGACACAACGACAGATTGTAGGCGAAGATGGCTCCTTTGGACTCACGATGGCTGCAGCTTCCTAACCCTTCTTCTATCATACTTGTATCTTCTTGTTATTTTTCTGAGGAAAATTTCAACACCTCCTGAGCTCTCCAAAGCGGCTCAAAGCGGATGAGTTGGACTTTGGTGAGTTGAACTTGCACGAGCGCGCCAACAGCATCATGCATCACTGGCCGCTTCAGCTAATGCTGGCATATCTGGCATAATTTTTTGGGGGTCATGCTTATGATAAACTAGTGCGTGATGCACGGATGGAGCACCTACCATTGTACAATCTTCACAATCACCTTCTTGTTTTTGCCGCAGCAGTTTGTCAGTACTAGCGTTTTTTTGACTGACATGCAGCTCCGTTGAAACTGATTGAACTTGGCCCTTGGGGGGTGCTTGTCAGGAAATTCCGCGGTGCTTACCGCCCGATCACTGCATTTTATGAGTTCGAACGCAAGTTGGGGGAGGCCATGGGCATAGGCATAGTGGAGTGCAAGATTCTTGCAAGAATCAAAAGATGTCAAAAGCCATGCGTATTGCAAGAGGTTTCATCTCTGGATATTCAGGAAGCATGAAGTTGGTTGAAGTTGGCATTCGGTGCCCAACTGCGGACAGGGTGCTTTTGGTTCTGTCTCTAAGTGGCGCCTGCATGCATCTACTCAAGCGGTTGCAGTAAAGCAGAGTCTTGGCGAAGGGGCGTGATGGCTTTGCAAGAAAATGTATATTTGAATATGACCCATCCCTTAAAAAATATTCCAGGGTATCAACTAGGTTATGGAATATTTTTTGTGGAATAATTTTCCTGGAATAATTTCTTCAAGGGGGTAGGTATATGATTATGCATGTTGAAATTCTTGAAATCATGATCCCCCCGTCAACATACCCTGGAATAATTAGGTTTTGGAATAATTTTCTATAATTCAAAACATCTTAAAACATTTCGAAACAGCCTAAACGTTATAGTGTCCTTCCTTCTTACTTCCCGAGAGTTGTTTGAGGCATCATGCAGTTTGGGCAATTGATTGCAATTGCTGCCAACTTTTTTTTTTTGCAGCGTGCTTGCAAGCATAACTAGTGTCCAACGGACCACCTTTCTCTCACGGTACTTTCTCGAGAGTTTTGGATGGCAATGAAGTGAATATGGAAGAAATAGGGGGAAGGACGCAAGGTCAGGAAAATGTCTAGGAGAGGGCCGGTTTGAGTGCCATTTTGTTGGCTTCTTGACGGGAAGAATTATTCTAGGGGTATTGGAGATGCCTGGCGCCCCTCAAAAACCAAAGTGGGCAGCTGCCACAATCACCAAACTAGCCCAGAAACTGGCAAGAATTGTCAGCGACCAATAAAAACCACACATTTCCCCCTTTCCCACTCATCCCCACTATGGCCAACAGGGGGACGGTTGGCTGAGGGGTTTGGCTCCCACCAACCTTTTTTTGTTTTTGTTGTTTTTTATGATGTCGCACTTTGCCTGCCAGGTGCTATCCTCGGGGGCTTGGTCGCATCTATTTTGCGCCGTTCATCTATTAGTCTATTAGCATCATTGTGTCTATGCTGTATGTATTTTTAATTATTTATATATATATATATAATATATACATTTATTTATATTTGGTATATTCGCTTGTCGCAGATGACGTGCCGCGGCATCTCGGGTTTTTGATGTTTGTGGCTGATGATCTGCTGCGATACCTTCTGCAACGTCTTAGTTGTCTTTATTCTTCTGGGGTCGTGCCAGCCCAAGATTTGACGTCTTGACGAAACCCCGGTAGAATGGTACAGAATGTATCTTGTACCTCTCACTATATGTTTTTGAAAATGTTTCTTTCATCATGTTTTGTTTGCCTGTGCCCAGACTGCTATGTGTGATCTTCTGGGACCCCAGGAATGGTCCTGGTGTAGGCTTTTTCTGCCTATGTCGTGGCAGTGTATCCCTATGTCCGGGTCTGTGTCTGACCCATCCCGCTCTGTAGGCTGTGGTTTTTCTAATCTTTGTGATGTGTTTCTTCCTCATATAAATATATTTGTATGTATATTCCCATGTATTGGGCTGATAGCGCGTTTCTTTTGGCTCGATATGGCTGAGCATATCGGCAGGAAAAAGCGAGACACAAAAAGGATTCGTTCGAACAGCAGCGACCTGTGGGTGTTCTTTATGGGACAATGACTCATTTGCAATTTTTGTACCCTCTAGGTCCTGATGTATTTTTATTTTTCGGACAGATTTTCAATTTCTGTGATTCCCTTAGCTGAGCCCTTGAGATGATGAGGTGCGCCTGGCATGTCTTTCGCAGTTTCATGGGATTTGTTTGTCTGACATTGATTTCACATCTCTCTGGATTTATGTTTTTTTTCCTGTTTTTTGTTTTTGCCTTGACCGGATTTGATTCTTTGTGATTGCCGTAAGATTTTGGTGCTCCATCTGCTCTCATTGATCGTGACTTTCCTGGTAGATATGCATTGTGGACAGAACTCCAATTTGCCGCCCCCGCCACCTCCACGTGGTGAGTTCTCCCACAATCCTCACTCGTTTGTCCAGTATCCTCAGATGAATGGTGGCTATTTTGGAGGTCTCGCGCCTCAATTCATTCCTCCTGGGGTGTGGGCTCCTGGGCATACCCCCCACCATAGTGGTCATGATTTTGGGAGGTCTCGATCACCTAGACGATCCCGGCATGAGGATGTGGCCGCAGTGCTTGCTCAGATGTCTCGATCTGATTTCAAGAGGGTTTTCAATGGTTTGCCTGCTGACCTTCGTAGTGTTGCTTTCGAATGTCCTGATGACGTCATCACAGATGTCAAATCCATTTCTGACAAGGAGACCAGGATGGGTATGTGCCAGCGCATCAATGATTTGCGCCGTGAACGCATCAGGGCTTTAGCAACGCCGCAGGCGGCACCGTTTTACCAAGAGGATTTAATGAAAGTTGTACCGATGTCCCGTATCACGGAGAGGCATTTTTGGGATTTTTTTCATCGGATTCCGCTCTCCACGAGTGACCCTGCCAAATGGAAGAATGTCTTGAAGCATCTTGATTCCTGCCCAGAAAAGCCCCGCTCTCCCCCAACTGCCAGGGACATTGAGTGGGCAAGTGGGGATTTGGGTGAGAGCGCTGGTTTGCCATTGGCATCTAGCCCTCCGCGGACAGCTGTTGCTCCCATGGACTCTTTGAAAGCTTTGGCTTTGGGTTCCCCTGCGAAAGCCTCTGGGGATGCCAACCCCGATTTCTCTTCCTGGGTCAAGAGGCGTGTTGATACCGACGCTGCCAACTTGACCATGGCCAATTTTGAATTGGATTGCAAGATCCATCGTGTGGCAGGTCGCAAGACCACTGCCTCCAAAGCTCTTGCTGCCCTGTCCCCGCTTGAGGCCATGAGTGAGTTATACCAAATTGTTTACCAAATCTACCTGCGCAAGTTGCAAGGCATCGTTCCCCAGCTGGGGGCCAAGTCGAAAGACAACTCTTGTCTCAACAAGCTCTGTGATGCCTTGAATGTGAGCCCTGATGAGAGTATGGCTACGTTGCTGGCCCGCCTGCGCGCTTTGGATATCGTGCGCCGGCCGGCATGACTTCGCTTGATCCCGGGAGATCCTGAACTGAGTGCTGCCTTGAGAGCTGCCCTAGATGTCATCCTGCTTCTGCGGTTTCGTGTTTTCTAGTTTCACGCCGTTCTTGGAATGATCAGTTTCTGTTGCTCAATCTTGTAGGGAGCCTTTGGCTGATGCTTTTGCAAACGGTTCCCTCTAAGAGAAATCTGCGTTTGTTGCGTTTGTTTGGAACTGATCCGTGGGTGTTTGGATGGCAGCGCCTTGAACAGGCACCATGTTTGTATGTCATTTTTCCGTACCCTGTACAGTGTTCATGTCATGGGCCTTTGTTTTACGTTGGTGAAACCATCCTTTTTCGTCGTCGCATGGTTGAGCATTTTCTTCGTATCATTGCCCATGATGGTGCGACCCAGCAACCATTCTATAAGGTTGTCCGGCGCAACTGTTCCCAAGGGCCTCAGTTGCTTGCCGCCCTTAGTTTTTTAATGATGGTTCCGGTCTGCGCCGCTTCTGCCGATACGGGCGAGAGGTTGATGGCAGAAAGTGCACTTTGCCATTCGATTGGCACTTTGAACCCTCCGAGAGTGTACAGCTTGCTGCAAAGAGGAAAGCAACGGCAATTGCCCGGGATGCGCATTTTTGATTCTCATCGTCCTCTGTGTAGACTCCGCCCTCCACAGGATGGTTTCCCACAAAAGAATGTTCCTATGTCTTTGGGGCTCATTCGAAAAGAGTGGCGTGATGGTTTGAAGAAAATTGCTTCGGCATTGGCAGGCCACCGTTTTGAGCATTCCAATGCGTCCGCCCTTGCAGCCTGGAATTTGAGTCCGGGAGCTTGGGCATATGTGGCCCGTCGCATCGACCAATGTGAAGAAGGTTGGCGTCGGAAAAGAGGCCTTCGTTTACTTGGCGTGATCTCCAAAAAACGGCGGGATCTTTGCCCTTTTGTGTCCTCGGTTGTGTTTTCAGTCCCTTGGGTCGGGTCTGTTCAGGCACAATCTGTTGTTCGTACAGCAATTTGTGGGCTTCTTTCTGCGTGGCGTCAGAGAGGGCTTTGGGTGCCTGTTGCGCGGCATGCAAAATGTTTTGTTTCCTGGTCGGCCTCGCCATCGCTGGCTTCTATTTTGTCTGACACATCTTTACTGCGCAAAGCGCTTGAGGAGGGAGGTGTCCCTCGTGCCCTTGTGAGGCGGTGCGGTCAAAATACCCTGGCTGGCCTGTTGTTTCTTTTGAAGGCTGTGAGCACATTGCTTCTTCGCAGGGTTGTGTGCCTTGGCCTGAACAGCTTCAACACCTGGCTAGGTGGCCTGCTACCATTTGCCTCCCTCCTCGATATGAGGATGTTGTTAGCGCTATTCGTAAATGTTTCCGGCGTCTCCGCGACAGATGCCGTGTGTCTATCAGTGATGCTTGTGCAGTTGATGCCATTCAGACTTGTGTTTCTCAGCTTTGGGCCCTCCATGTCAAAGATTTGAAGGTCCCTATCACCTGGGCGCACGCAGAAGCTGCGCGTGCCTGGTTGAAATCGCATGGTCTTTTTGCTTCTGTTTTTGATCATAACCTTTCTTCTCTTGGGGCTTTTGCCCAAAATTGGTGTTTGAGCATGCTTGTAAGTTGCTGGATTTCTTGCATCACCAGAGCCCTGAAGCTAATTTTGCTTGGTCAAAGAGCGATGTTGGCTCCCGGTGGCATGTTTTGGGTGAAATGGCCCACATACCCGGTCTCCCCGACCATTTGCGGCCTGCTCTGCACTCCGTAGTTTCCAAGAAGCTATGGAACATTGCAACCGTGTCGTTCCTCCCGAAGTGGAAATGCCCCGGACTGAAATGGAGGCTCATTGTAAATAAGCATTTCACACCTTGTTGTGGGCTTCACTCGCTTGTCTCCCGTGCTCTAGATGTTCTTTTGGATGCTTTTCCTACGCACCTGTGGAGTGATTATCTCTCCATGGGTGAAATTGTTTCTTTAGTTTCTGATTTCAATTCCCAAGTGCGGCGCTATCAATTTGATATTGGTTGTGCGTTTGCGGCTGACATGACTGATTGTTTTAGGCACTTGCCCTGTGAGCATTTTGCTGACATGTGGGATGATTTCGCTGGTTATTAGGAGGCGCAGCACGTTTTGCGGGCGTCCCTCATAAGCGGCTTGGTTGTCGTGGCATCCTTGGTCGATGTGATGACCCTGGGTGGACTTGTTTAGATTTTGTCTCCATTCGCATCGTTCTTTGCGCCTTAGCAGGCACAAACCATGTCAGCATCGGTGGTTGGCTAGGCCGCGAGCAGCACGGGGCTCCTCAGGGAGATGCTCTGAGCTCCGCGCTGTTGCGCCTATGGAAGTGGCATCGTGAGGTCCACGATGTGCCCAGGGCTGCTGAAAGTGTCCCGATACCAAACACTAAATGTACTTTGTTGCACCTTTCCGGATGCAACTTTTTACTTTTGGACGTCTCTTATCGGGACGATTTGCGTCAGTTTTTTGCGTGGAAGTCCTCTTCTGGTGTTGGACCAGAGTTTGTGCAGTCATGGGCTTGGACGCAATGGCGGAGTCGCTTTCAGGTTGGAACCATGTCTCTCGAGGAGGCAGATGCTGGCATTTTTACCGGTTTGCAGTTTGTGTGGGATGGTGCACAGATCTCACTGCAACCTCGCATGCCAGACCCGTGGGCTGCTCACTGCTATGATGAATTGGATAATTTTCCACTCAAGCCTTGGCAGTCTTGGGGGCCCCCGCAGCTGTTCAAGACTACTGTGCGAGGGCTTTTGTGTAGATGCTGGTATTTTTCCAATTCACGCCAGGTGTTTAGAGCGGCACTATGGGAAGTGCTTGTGGCGTTGGTTCTTCGGGCAAATTTTCCATGGCACTTTGTTAAGCAGAATGCCATGGCTTGGGCACGTACTTGGGTGCCGAAGGGTGCGCTGTTCCCAATATCCACTCTTTTTGATGATGTAAGTGTTGCTATTTTGCGATTTGAGGGCTCCCTGTCGCGTTTGAATGTTCTGAACGTGGCCTCCTGATGGCATAAGTAAAATGTGTTCAATACAGGGGGACGGTTGGCTGAGGGGTTTGGCTCCCACCAACCTTTTTTTTTTTGTTTTTCATGATGTCGCACTTTGCCTGCCAGGTGCTATCCTCAGGGGCTTGGTCGCATCTATTTTGCGCCGTTCATCTATTAGTCTATTAGCATTATTGTGTCTATGCTGTATGTATTTTTAATTATTTATATATATATAATATATACATTTATTTATATTTGGTATATTCGCTTGTCGCAGATGACGTGCCGCGGCATCTCGGGTTTTTGATGTTTGTGGCTGATGATCTGCCGCGATACCTTCTGCAACGTCTTAGTTGTCTTTATTCTTCTGGGGTCGTGCCAGCCCGAGATTTGACCTGTGTTGCGCAAAGTGCTGGTACCTGATGAGTATTGTCCCATATTGTTCCACGCACGGTCTGTGGACGCGCAGCAGTGATAGTCTTGACGAAACCCCGGTAGAATGGTACAGAATGTATCTTGTACCTCTCACTATATGTTTTTGAAAATGTTTCTTTCATCATGAAAGGAACAGGGAAGAAATAGGGGGACGTACGCAAGGTTGGGAAAACTTCTAGGAGAGAGCCAGGTTGAATGCCATTTTGTGGGCTTTCCAGGGGAGAAATTATTCTAGGGGTATTAGAGATGCCTGGCACCCCTCAAAAACCCAAGTGGGCAGCTGCTACAATCACAAAACTAGTCACTAGTCCAGAAATTGGCAAAAAAAAACAGTGAAAACCAAACATTTTCCCTTTCTCGCTCATTCCCACTAGGGCCACAACCACCAAACTAGCTCAGAAACGGGAAACATCCAAAATCAAAGAAACCATGTTCAACCAGTGGGTTGCTGAGAAGGCAAACATTTGAAGATATATGCTGGCTCTTCTTGATCCTATCTTATTATGTTTAAAGTTGTGCCCCGGCCCTGCAAGGACGGAAACCTTTTTCGGCCGTTTGCCCACAGCTGCTTACGATTGCTTAGGTTTTGCTAGGAAAAAAATATAGGGGTATCATTTTGTCAAATATTATTCCCAATTCCCATATATCTCATTGAGTTCTTGGAATAATTTATTTTTTTTAAGTCAAGTATTGCCAGAATAATATGTTATTATTCTGAGGTATGTTGAGGGGCGTATACCCTTAAGGCATCCCTCATATTTGAATAATAGATGTGCTGTTGTTGCGGGTGTTGTATGGGATTCTTCCGCGCGGCTTGGAGAACATGAAAGATCTGAGAATGAGCATTGCCAAGAGCCAGATTGAAATGCCAGAGAATGGAGCAGTTGGAGCAGTTGCATGTAACAAACATCAGCAGCCCGCACTGCCTGGTCTCCAGTGATTTGGACCTAAGCTTTCAGATCTTTCGGCCGAGGATCAAGTGGCGGAAGATTTGGTACCTTGGTCATCCTTGGTCGGCATGAGATCGGGATGTTTTTTCTCCACATAGCATCTGAGATCCAAAGATTCCAAAGATGTGCACTTGTCACCAAGGCATGGTTTCTTCCGAAACCGTGCGGCTGAACAGGCCATTCGGAAAGAGCTAAAGTTGCTCTTGGTTCTTGACAACCCATTTATTATCAAGCTACTATGCTGCAAGCGGGCAAGTCAAATAAGCAACAAAGAAAACAACTCCACTGAAGCTCTAGCAATCATGCGGTCAGAATCTGCGTGAGGCCAAACTTCATCTGGTTTCTATTTTTTCAAATTAGGAGTAATGAATGTCTTCGAGCGCTATTTGCCCTTTCACTTGACCTTGGATCAAGTTCTTTAAGCACTTGAGCCCAAGGTTTCGAGAATGGTTTGAGGATCTTTGTAAAGGCATTTTCTTCGTCATGGAGCTATGCTCTGGGCCTTCTCTACAATCCATCTTGGAGGACGGATATGAGAGCCCACGTGACATGTTTCTCTTGGATTCTTTTGGTTCTGAGTTTTCTTCGACAAGTCAATGCAAGTCATCCCAGTATCCCAGCTTCCAGGATGTATGCAAGCAATCAGACGAGCTTCGGCGAGAGAAGCTACCCAAGTTTCGCCGGTTCCTTGTTCAAATCTCGCCCATTTAAAGAACATCCAAGGCATTTGAAGTTGAAGCCCCTCAACTTTGAAGCCAGGTGCAAACCCATCAGGTTCTCACAAACGTTAGTTTCTTTTCACCCTCTGGTCGGGGCCCCGTTTGTTGTTTGCCATAGTGTTGGCCCTGCACACAGTGCGGGTCCTGCTGCGCTCGGGTCCTGCTGTGCTTATCTCATAGCTATCACCTGTGTTGTAGAGCTATGTCCACTTCCAGTGGAGCATGCGCAAGAGAAGGTCAAGCTGGCCTGATGCTTCTGCAGCAAGTAGTGTGTTGGGTGACATGCTGAGGCACTTCAGAGAGATTTCATATGCCATCAGCTACCTGCATGGCATGGAGCCTCCGGTTGTACACCGTGATTTGAACCTTGGAATGCTGCAGGAGCGGTTTCGAAGTCCTGGTTAGGTTCGATTCTGAATCACTGGTGGGAGGATGTGAAGCTTGAGTTCCAAATGGGAATCGCCACATTTGCATAGCGTAAGCGCTCCGATGGATGGAATATCTTGCTGCACTGCTTTCACCCAGTCCTTACTGAGGAAGCCAGAGAACATCCTCCTGGCCGATTGCACGGAGCACGGCACTGTCAGGTGACAAGATTGAGGGCATTTGCTGGGTATTGATATATATATATATATATACACATGCCGCGGTGGAGTGCATGGAAGCCTGAAATAGTTTAGTGTGAGCAGAAGCCTTTGATTGAGTCAGCAGCATGCTGGGGAACCTGCAAAATTCAATGTGCTTGATTGTCATCTCGTTTGTATATCACTGCGATTCTTTCCCTCGGGGTGGGGTGACGCGGGGTTGGCAATCACAATTCGTTGGAATGGAAGTGAAATGAAGTGAATACCTGTGAAATTCTATGAGCATCATGGGTACTGTACCCCATGGTACCCCTGTTCTTTTTTGCATGAGAGCCTGTTGGCTGAAATATCTCTTCCTTCACGGCCGTGAATAAGAATGGGTTCAGTTTAGCTACACTGGACACTGGCCACATGTGAGGCTGATTGACTTCGGCTTGGCTTCCTTGAAGACTGACGAAGACGTCCCTTTGTTTGGAGAAAGGTGGAAGGTAAGGCCTTGTTCAAACATGGATTTATATACCGTGATTTACCATATTCACTGCCAGCAATGCATAAATCAAGCTACCAAGCTTGAGGGACTCGAGGGACGAGCTTTATTGTGGGCCTTGAGGCTCCTTTGGCTGTGGGCACCATGGTCCTTTGGTGGCAGCATGAGGATTGCCAAAGTGCACGATCTTAGATGATTGTTGCTTCATGGGTACTTCTTGAGAGACCTGACAGATTGTATTGAAGGATATTTTTGCCTATCAGGCATGATGCATTGGTTCGCCAGCTAAGAGAGTTGCCTCATAGGCACTTTCAGTTTTGGTAGCTAATTTTTGAAGGAGTCGTGACTCACCGAATCAATTATCCTCTGAACCTGACTGCCGAATCTACCACAATCTACCATTCTTGGTGCAAACTTCAGGGATCAATTATTGAATATTATTGATCATTGTCATTATTAAACACATTAAACTATCATAATCTGCCATAATCTACCAAATTTTTGATGCTACCTGACAATTTGGTCCCTATTTCTAGGTCTTTATGGCTCCGGAGACCTTCACGAACGTGAATGTGGAGTTGGATCAGCAGACAGATGTGTGGGCACTGGGCGTGATTTTGATGTGGATGATGACAGCTCTGCAGCTGCTTCGGCTGGAACCAGGGCAATGAGGGCAAGGGCAAGGAGAGCAAGTTGATGGGTTTGATGATCATCTCCATGCTGGATCGCTCTCAGGTCGGGCTCTCTGCAGCATCCTTGCTTGGATCAAGATGAAGGTCGGGAATTTGACGTCAAGTGGATCGCGCTGATCCATGGCTGCATTCGATTTCTTTCTCAACAGTGATGTAATGATATGTAATGCCCAAGCTGGAGATGCATCAGAATGGTTGGCAAGATCGTGAGACTATGGGACATCATGGGACTATGTTCGGCTTCACCTCAGGTATAATGCCTTCAGAGACCAGGTGCCGTGGAATCGATCCCTCATTCCTGACTATTTGGCAGTAGCCCCGATTCTGGACAAGGTGGGATAGGATAGCATAGTTGAAGTACGTCACATGCTCGGAAAGGATGGACAATGACTCAAACACTGTCAACTGCCTGCGGTGCTTTTCACGCATGCTCAGATTTTGAAACTGAGACGTTTTTGCTTCATTGTCCCATACCCATCATCTCATCATCATCTCATCATCATCTCATCATCATCTCATCATATCATCATCACATTTTCATCTTGGCACTCTTGTATGTTGTGGCAGGTTCTGGTGTACCAGCCTGAAGAGCGTTGTCATGCCTGCAGCATCCTAGAGGCCGTTGCAAAACACTTGCACTCTGCAGACACGAAATGTGTCACTCTGGGTAGGATGGCCCTTCTTTTAATCAGAGATGCACAGAGATGCACAGAGATGCACAGAGATGCACAGAGATGCACAGAGATGAGCCAAGATTATATAAATTGCCCAAGACAACTTCAACCCCTGGTACCATCAGCAGCCAACCTATCTTTGTGAGCAGGTTCCATATCACCTTTGCCCCCGCACACGCACACAAGTACCAATAACGATGTCACAAGTTACAATACATTAGAATCAGAATAAGTTACAATAAATTCCAGTACGCTGCACACCACACACACATATATATATATATAAATGATGATATAAATGCATAATTTTGAAAGACATTGTGGTGTCAGCTCACGAGGACCCCTGGCTGTGCGTCTCAGATCCTGCCATCTCAGCCTCGGCCGAGCTCTTGGAGCGCGGTTCGCTGCTGTACAACCTCCGTGCCTGGGCTGCACCCGTTGCACCCATGGCCGTCGTGGCAGCTGTGGCACCTGCACCGGTGCGGCCTTCAGGCACCTTTGGAGACCTGACAGATCTGGAGAAGAAGATTGTATCGCTGGTTGCGGATCACGCTCCAGATTCCAAGCTAGCCCTGCTCCGGAGGAGAAGATGTGAGTCTTATAGTGCCTTCATGTGCCTTCATGTGCCTTCCTGCCGTACAAGTTGTGGATCCGTAGTATAGGAAGCTCGACTCCAGTACTCAAAAGGAAGACAGGCAAGATAGTCCAAGGCATTTGTTTGTGCCAAAAGATTTCTATCGCAGATGGACCAGGACATTCCGTGCCTTCGACACTTCGCGGCAAGGGGTGTTGAACGTGTCAGAACTGATCGAAGGTTTCAGGACGGGGGTTCATGTCCGACAAGCATTGCAGCCATTGATGATTTGGAAGAGGCTTCTGCCTCGTTGGTGCATGCAAAGCCGTTCAGGATTTTGCTCGAAGCTTCTCTTGCGCAAAGATGTTCTTGCATTTTGTTCTTCGCAACCCCACTTTTAGTGCATACAAATAAGTTCATTTAATGAGCATATATCCACACGTGCATTTGCTGGCAGGAGGCATGATGTTCAAATCTCAGTCAGTGCCTCAGACCTCCGCACCAGAGTTTCATGAATCGCTAGCAATCCTTGCTACTAGCGAGTGCTTGTGAAGGGTCATCGGTCATCACCAAGGAAGAATTGATCCGAGATTTATTTAATGCTGTCGACATTGACCACAACAAAGTCATCAGCCCCCTTGGCCTGCAGTTGCAGTTGCCGCAAGATGCTGAAGGACTTGACTTTCAGGGTGCCCTGCTTTGTGCTGAGTGCCAAGGCTACCAGGAATGGCTTGCGGCCACCATCGGCCCTGGTATTCTTGATTCAGCCGCTGAGTTGAAGAGAGCTAGTAACATAGCCTGGGATGCAAGATGATGCAAAGATAGAATGTAGAGGACAAACTGCTGGAGCTTTGGTGCCTGTTTGATCTTCCCGAATCTTCCTTTCCTTCACCGGGTCTTTGCTCTGACATGTCCTGTCATGTTCTTCACAAGGAAGCTGCGCTCGAAGCTTGCTTTCGCCGGCTGGATCCAGAAGCCAACGGCTGCATCACCAGAGAAGACCTCATAAGGCAGAGGAAGACTGTAGGTGGGCATGAAGATGTGATAGGGCTTGATGACGGAAATGAATGAATAAATAAATAGATAAATAGATAGATAGATAGATATATATATATGCATGATATCACATATCGTATTGATGACAGATGATTACAGTGCTATGGTCAACGTGATACATTTCCGAGGTTTCTGTACACCCACGGTGTTGACCTCACTGACCCAAGAACTCCAGAGATTTGACGCTGAACGTTTTCCTTTCCTCCAGGGCAGTTGGCGAGGAGGGTGCTGATGAGGTCTTTGCGTATCTGGTTGGCAGGGCTCTCACGATTGTGACATCAAACAAAGTTCTGACTTCTTTTTGCCTTCCAATGGTCCAAGTTTGATAAGGTTTGGACAGATTGTGGTCCCATCCCTGGTCTCTATCCATTTTTGATGCATTCCACTCTAGTGGCAGTTGATCGTTACCCACGCTTGGATGCGACATCCCTTGGGATACAGTATATATATGATGATTATATATGTATTTATATATATACACATAAATAAGCAGATAAATATGTACATACATACATAGATACGTACATAGGTACGGACACATAGATACATAGCTACATAGCTACATCGCTACATCGCTACATAGGTACATAGGTACAGAGGTACATAGGTACATAGATACATAGCTACATAGCTACATAGCTACATCGGTACATAGGTACAGAGGTACAGAGGTACATAGGTACATAGATACATAGATACATAGCTACATAGCTACATCGCTACATCGCTACATAGGTACATAGGTACAGAGGTACATAGGTACATAGATACATAGATACATAGCTGCATAGCTACATAGCTACATCGCTACATAGGTACATAGATAGGTACAGAGGTACATAGGTACATAGATACATAGATACATAGCTACATAGCTACATAGCTACATTGCTACATAGGTACATAGGTACAGAGGTACATAGGTACATAGATACATAGATACATAGCTACATAGCTACATAGCTACATCGCTACATAGGTACAAAGGTACAGAGGTACATAGGTACATAGGTACCTAGATACATAGCTACATAGCTACATAGCTACATCGCTACATAGGTACATAGGTACAGAGGTACATAGGTACAGTCATAGGTACATAGATACATATGGGTAGAACTCCTTGAGAAGGCGATGGAGAGAGGTAGATGGATAAATAGATACATATAAATAGATACATAGAAAGAAAGACAGACAGATAGATAGATTAGATAGATACTAGATAGATAAATAGATAGATCCCTAGATACAAAGGTCCAAAGATACATAGATCCATAGATCCATCCATCCATCCATGCATGCATGCATACACAGACGGACGGACGGACGGACGGACGGACGGTTGGACGGACATACATACATACATACATACATAAATGCATGCATGCATGCATGCATGCATACATACATACATAGTACGTACGTACGTACATACGTACCTACGTACCTACGTACATAAGTACATACGTACATACGTACATACGTACATACGTACATACGTACATACGTACATACATACATACAGACAGACATACACACAGACAGACATACAGACAGACAGACAGAGACAGACAGACAGACAGACAGACAGACAGACAGACAGAGACAGACAGACAGACAGACAGGCAGGCAGACAGACAGACAGACAGACATGCATGCATGCATGCATGCATACATACATACAGACACACACACATACATACATACAGACATACATACATACAGACATACAGACAGACATGCATACATACAGACATACATACATACAGACATACAGGCAGACATGCATACATACATGCATACAGACATACATACATACATACAGACATACATACAGACGTACATACAGACAGACAGACAGACATACGGACAGGCATACATACATACCAACAGACATACATACATACAGACACACACACGCAAACACAAACACAAACACAGACACAGACACAAACACATACACATAGATAGATAGAAAGATAGAGGGAAAGATAGATAGATAAATAGATAGCTAGCTAGATAGATACATAGATGCATACAAAGATACATGGATACATAGATACAAAGATACATAGATAAAAATGGATAGATGGATAGATGGAGAAATTGATAGATGGATAGATGCACAGATGGATAGATGGATAGATGGATCGATGGATCACTGGATAGATAGATACATAGAAAGATAGATAGATAGATAGATAGATAGATAGATAGATAGATAGATGCATATATAGATAGAAAAATAGACAGACAGACAGACAGCCTGCATGCATGCATGCATGCATACATGCATACATACAGACATCCAGACAGACATGCATACACACATACAGACATACATACATACAGACATACAGACAGACATGCATACATACAGACATACATAGATACATACAGACATACAGGCAGACATGCATACATACATACATACATACATACAGACATACATACATACAGGCGTACATACATACAGACAGACAGACATACATGCAGACAGGCATACATACATACATACCAACAGACAGACATACATACAGACGCACATTTTTTTTCAAAATAGATAGGCATATATATATATATATACATACACTGTGGCTGAGGATTGATGAAGATTCGTTTTTTGCGATAGATGAGATCACGTTCGAAGAGTTCAAGGACCTATACGGGCAACATGCGAATTCGTGTGAACTCATGTTGATGATGTCATTACATCTGTAAATAATTGTAACCATTCATTGCTATATTTCTAGCATGCGCACGCGCACATTATATATATATAGATAAGCATCTCCGTGTGCTGATGCATTCCAACATACCAATGAGTGCGTGTAATACCAATGATCTCATATGCAACATTTCAATACCGTTTCAAAATTTTACAATGCTGCCACCCACTTTGGGCCAGTGGCGGTGCTTCGGGCATGACGCAGACGTGACAGCTCCAGGACATGGCGCGGAAGATTCTCAGCTTGAAACCTGAGGCAGGTGGTGTTAGGACTGTTAGGACATGGCCCCGCAAATTTTTCAGCTGTAGAAACTGGTAGAAGTGAAAGTAATTTCACAAAATACTGAAACATTTGCGAATGACTTCAGAGTTTGAGGCAAGAGTTGAAACAAGGAGTGGGAAGTGTCCAAAAGATCAAACCAGCAGTACATGCGCAAACTCCAGATCAAACCCAAGGATTGGTGAAAAACGTGCTGGGACATCGCAATCTTCCAGAAGAGCCATCTCTGTGATTGGTACAGCTGAAAGCATTGCGGCCAGCGTTCGGCCCAAGCGGAACACGGTGACCCTGACAACCACTGGAGCTGTCGCGTGAAAAGCTGCACAAAGGCCACAATGTCCGGAGCATCTGAAAGGTAGTCGCGGAGTTTAGGAGGAACCACTTGCTTTTCTGTAAGATCTGAGAGCAGTGAAGAAAGGATATGAAGAGTTTCTTTGCAAAACCCGTATGTTAATGCACGCCATTATCTAATGATCTTGAATGCGCAACACAAGCTATAGCTCCTGAATCATAGATTCTGACCATCATCAGGCTAACCGTCTCTTGCAACTACAATGGCTTCAAAGCGCGTGCACATTTTGGTGAGCTTGTGCACTTCCCATGAGTCAATGTGTAGCAACGGCTTTTGTATGCACACATGGCACATGTACAATGGTAGTATATATGACCCATTTCCATTACGTACTTGACTAAATTGGCACTGACACACGTGCATTTGTACAATTGAGATCAATTGTGTGCATGTAACGTATTACATTACATTACATTACAGTACAGTACATTACATTACATTAAATTACATTACATTACATTACATTACATTACATCAACATCAGCATCAGCATCAACATTAACATTACCAATGCCGCTACATTGCATTGCATTGCGTTGCAATATGTTGCAATATAAACATATTTAGACATATTTAGACACATTTTTACATACGTACATACGTACGTACGTGCGTGGTACGTACATCCATCCATCCATGCATACATACATACGTATGTACATACCTACACACATACACACATACACACATACACACATACACACATGCACACATACACACACACATACACACACATACGTCACATACACATGCATATACATACACATGCAGATACAGATACAGATACAGGTACATATACATATACATATACATATGCATGCCTGCCTACCTACGTATGTACATACATACATAAACACACACACACAAATATAATATCATGTCATATATATATATATATATAAATATGTATACAGATACACACACAGAGATATATACATATATGCGTACACACACATACATAATGTACAGTACATATTTGGATCCAGCAAAGGGCATTACGACCCTTTGGGCCCCTGGACTGGTACTGTTGACAGATGCAAACTCCCCGACGCCAAGGTGGGTTGCTCCTGGCAAGAGGGCAGCCGTTTGGCTTTTGCTACTTGGCCCCACTGACATGGAGTGACGGGGAGTGATCAAAAAGTGAGGTTTTGCCTTCAAGCTCACAGTTCTAGCCTCATGCAAGGAAGCAGATCATGTTAACTTTGGAGTCCGTGCGCGTTTGAAGTTTGGCTTAGAACATGTGAGAATTGCCTCCAAGTTCCTTGCCGGAATCTTCAGCGGATCCTGTAGCAACGGGACCTAGGAGACGACTGGGCGACACTTCAAGCCCCCCATGTCTGGCCTGGTCTTCACCATGAAGAAGTGTGGAGCCCATGTGGAGCCCATGTGGAGCCCATGTGGAGCCCATGTGGAGCCCATATGGAGCTGGGCCTTGAGGGCCTGAGCTGGTTTCCCCGCGGCCAAATGTTACCTAGCCATCCGACAATGTTTTAGGTGCTTAAGTATTGATGGCTCAGGCGGCTCAGGTGAGTTCCAAGGTGAGGTAGATCTGTAGATCTGTGGTGATGTGTGAAGGTGCAATGGGCTGTAGAATAATCAATTCCTATCATCCCTACAATTTGCTGCAACAAGGCCATTCCACAGCGCCTCCTTGCCATCGTTGGATTCAGGTCGACAGAAGGGACGGTGGTGGGGCCAGTGGTGGGGGGTCTGTTGGCCTGCAGCAGAGACAAACCCAAAAGTAACTGAGAACTTCTGCTGTCTGCATTGAGGTACATCTCAATGTATGATATACATACAGATGTATATATATATATACATACATGGTTCGGTTTTTTATAGACGACGCGGTGGACCCTCAAGTTCCTTGGGGCCAGCCTTGAGTCCAGCAGAGATACCGATATGCCGATATGCCACATGTCCACGCCACTTCTGCCATCTTGTTTTTATGTTAGGGAGCTAACTTGCATAGGCGTGCTCTTTCATGTGCACACGAAGATGACAAGACATGCTGAAATACGCATTGCTTTATATAGTTTCATATGTTTTGTTTCATTTCACCCCGCATGAATCATCATACATTTGGTTCAAAGATTGGTTCAAAGATTGAAAGATTTTCATCCCATGGCCAACATGGCGTGCGACTCTCGGCGCGCGCCTGGCGCTGTGTGTCACCCCAGCCGCAGTGTTCAACTCGCTTGGCTGGCTGCCTTGTCTGCAGCGGGGCACAGTGCCATGGCAAGTTTCAGTTTTTGGACGTTTCCAGCACATTCCCTGAGCCATTCAACACACACAAATGGCCACAAGGGCTACAGAGCGTGTTGTGGGTTTTGCCGCCTCCTGATTCAACATAGACTGGGGTGGTTCGTTTGTTCGTGACCCGCTTATGAAATGAACCGCGAGGCACCAGAAATTGGGTGCCGGTGCTGGAGCAACCGACAGGGCTCGTTCGAGATAGACGACTTCCAAACAGGCAGGGCCAAGGACCTGTTGCCAAGTCTGGTCAAATCTTGTCAAAATGTGTGGCCCAATTCTCTCAATGCAAAGCATTCTGGGCGCCCTTGGTGAATGGCATTCTTCCCCTTACGACAATTCTTCAAGCTTCGAGTTGCGACTCTTTTTTTTGCGCCATATGCTGCAGGCAGTCATTTAGGGCAATAGCAGCGCTTTGGGCTAGTAAAGCTGCACGGGATGTCTTTGCTCAGGGATAAGTAGTATACCTTAGTAGAGCTCTAGTAAGGGATGTTGCAGCATGTTACAGCATGTTGCAGCTATCACCCCCTGCAGGCTATTTGCAGCCGCAGATGCTCAACGGCACTGTGGGAGCTGCCAAGGCCGCCAGGTGAAAGTCTCCAGGCGAGGCTTGCCTGAAGTGGCATTGCTTGGAGGCTTGACGGTCCTCTCTGTGCTACGGCCAAGATCCTCGGCCTCGAAGAATTGTGAAGGATTCTGGATTGTCGGGCCGACAATCAGCTTGCTCCCAGCCCAGCCTTATGGCCCCCAGCCTCAGACCATCTCAGACCAGATCAAAGACTGTGATATGACTTGACATGATATTACTGCAGATCCTGAAGAGAAAACATTTTAGTTTCTGCAGTTTTCTTCAATAGTGTGTTTCCGTACGCTTAGCGACGCAAAGCTCTCCCAACTCACGACGCAAGGCCCAAGCCCAAAGGTCAAATGGCGTTGTACAACTGTTGTACATGGTTGTCCTTATCACTGCTCCCCGAAGTTCCCCGAATCAGTTCTTGTAACTCAAGATGCTCTGGAGCCAAGGGAAATCCAATGGATCTAAGTGATGCAATTTCTATGGTGTTTCCGTATCAAGAACACCCATATGAAACAAATCTCGTGGACACAGAATTATACAGGCTGCCAATGCATTTGTCTATAAATGCACACCAAGTTAATATACAAACCAATTACTGTATATCTAATTGTAGCTTGAATCACATATACCTGTACCACATGTCTTTGATTGTATGCATAGTAAACACGCATCAAAAGCACATATTGTGTTGATAAGATTGATTCATGGCGCCTTGATATATGATAATTATATATATATATAATTATATGCGTTCATAATTTGTAAATGCCCCTTTTTTTGGCATTCCAACTTCAACTTGCAGACTTCGCAGAGGAACAGCTCCAGGGCCATCGGCGGATCTGTTGGCCGAGGAAGGTGCGGCGAAGGAAGGCGTCCAAGCGGCCAAGGGCAGCACCCGCGAGAAGCTGCAACAGGCTTTGCGGAAGTTGTCCATTGTGCAGGCTCAACTGGAAGCTGCCAACGGTGACCAACAGGATTATCCACTGTCACATGGTTTCTTTTTTCATGGCTTTTTTGAGTAATTACATGTAATTACAACTAACACGGTAAATTTAGTCAAGGCAGATGTTGCAAGACATCTATCATGTTTGTTCTTGGCCGCTGAATCTTTTCCTCCAAAGGGGAGCCACAGACCAGAAAGCAAAGCACACTAAGGTATAAATACCAGATAGTGCCCGGCACGCACCGGGGCAGAAGTTTCGAAAAAATGAAACAACTATAGGAAGAAGATGGCCCATAGGAAAGTTTTTTTTTTGGAGATGCAGAAGCAATGAAGTGTTGAATTTGTGAGATGCATCAACGAATGAGCAACTGGTTGTTGAGATTCAAATGAAATGACATGAAAGAACACATCAGAGGATGAATCCATCATTCAATGAATCAAGGAATCAGTGAATCAATGAAGCAACGAAGCAATGAAGCAATGAGTCAATGAGTGGGTGAAGTACTGTAGTGAGTCGATGAATCAGAGACTCAATGAATCAATGAACCAAAAGCCAATGAATCAATGAAGCAACAAAGCAATGAATCAACGACTGAAACGAATTGAACCAATGAATCAGTGAATCAACGATGACCCAATGAGTCAAATGAATCAGTGAATCAATGAACCAATGAACCAATGAATCAGTGAGCCAATGAATCAACAAACCAATGAATCAATGAATCAACGAAACAGTGAATCAATGCATCAGTCAGCCAATGAATCAGTGAATCAATGAATCAACGAAGCAATCAATCGGTCAATCAATCAGTGAATCGATCATTGAAGCAATGACTCAACGCGTCAGTAATTCAATGAATCATTGAATCAATGGACCAATGAGTCAATGAATCAGTGACTAAACGAACGCGCGAATGAATGCATTGAAGGATGGGTGGATGAGGGAGCTACTTTTCTTTGTTGAGCTACTTCTGGTCCTCACTGAGCGACCTCTTCGCTGAGGCACCTTTTCTCTCAGCTACCGCTTCTCTAAGCAGCCACCTACTTCTGTTCTGAGCTGCCTCCCAGCTAGCTCTTCTGTAGCGTCTGCAGCGCACTTTTTCTCTTTCACGCAGCTGGTGCAATCCGCTTGGCAACCTCCAGCTGCAACCTCGCATAGCACAAGAGCAGCACTATGGTCAAGAACTACATTTCGCGCAGCTGTTACAGCGCGTGTGCAACCTCAGCTGCAAACCCACTTGCCAGGAGCGTCGCAGCATCACCCACGCTTTGTTGCACGCAGCCGTGCCATTGCGTTTGCACCAAATCGGCCAACGTGCGTGCAGCGCTGACAATGGGGACTCGATCACGTTTCTTTTTTTTACGTTTTTTATGTGAAAAACCGAGCTCTCGCTACAGTCTGGTGCGCATTTTGCCGGCAACTTTTCCAGATCGAGGGAAACAGAGACCCTACCGCGGCGACCCCCGGAGCCCGGAGCCACATTGCCCGAAAAAACGCACGGTTTCGTGCCTGAGAGTGTTTTCACCAGTGAATTCAGACGCTTCCGAACATTTGTCATGATGATGTGGTTGATATGATGATGTGGCTGGAATGATGGTGGGAATGCTAACCTGCTAACTGCTAACCATGACCATCGTCGGTAATTGGGACAATTTCTACCTAATCTTCCTTCGATCATCAATACGCAATCGGGTGAATCACCATTTCTGGGCTGGCACGACGTAGCAAATTTCCAGAGAAGGCATGGGCGAAACCCAAAAGTCACCCGTCTGAGGCCCAAATATTTAGAGGACGCCAGCACCAGTGGCAAAATCATGCTGGCTGTAACAGGTGCCTCTGGGGTAGGCAAGTCCTCCTTGGTCAATTCCCTGCGGAAAGTTCGCGACAATGATCCGGATGCAGCTCAAACTGGCATCAAAGAGACTACCATGGAGCCCAGCATGTACAGTTTCCGTGCGGATCAGGGCATTTTGAATCAGCGATTCTACCGTAGCTTCGAGGAAGGAATGGAGTTGAGACCAAAAGAGCAAGTTGTCCTGCACAATGTTTCAGAAAAAGTGGACGGCTGTCAAGCAGAGGTGATCTCCACAAAGCACGAAAAAGTCAAAGTTCGACTGGATGGAGGCTCCGTGCTGGACGTTGATTTGACCCAAGTTCCTTAGCAAAGTTTAAAAGCAACTTTCAGTTTTTCCCCAATTTTCCAACATTTTCCGCACCGTTCGATTTCACAATTTGGTGTTTTTTTTTTTTTTTTTTTACTTCTGCGCTATGCACAGTCTAAAGCAAAACATTTTCAGGTTGCCGGCAAGCCGCTGGATGTGGTGGCTTGGGATCTTCCAGGTGCTGGCACCCCGAAGTTCCCTCAGGCCACATATTTAAAGCGGATGGGCATTCGTTACTTTGATGTGGCCATCTTGGTGACGTCCTCTCGCTTCACTGAAGCGGAGCTCATGCTTGCGCAAGAGCTGCAAAGATTTGAAGTGCCTTATTTCATGGTGCGAAACAAAGTTGATGTGGATATCGAGTCTGAGATTGTGAAGGAAGAGGAGTCGTTGATAGACGATGATGGTGAAGAACATGAGCTCACCAGTGTGCAGAGGGCGGCTGTTGCCAAACAAACCATCCAATGCATCAAGGATTACTTTAGAATAGAATATGGACTTGAAAAAGTCTATTGCGTTTCAGCTAGAAGAAAATTGCGAAAAGACTATGATTTTCCTAGCCTGGAATGTGATATCCTGGAGGCTATCCGGATACAACGTGGCTAGTTTTTGGTTTTTGGACATGTTTTGGCCCAGCTGTTTGGTGAAAAGGGTCGCCCGGGAAGTATGCGCACTACCGGAAATGATTCCACTGGATGTTTCAAGCCTGTGGCCTTGCCAAGTCAGACTTGAGATGATTTTGGGGGGCTCTCTGCAAGATCCAGAAGTCATTCAAAACTTGCACATGCTCAACACCTGGAACTCTAAACAAACATTTTTGACGGGTTTTCTTCTGCGACTCGTATGGCAGGTACCCTGAAGCTGGAATCCTGAAGCTTAGAGGAGCGTGTCCGGAGCCACGATGAACTTCCAAGTGCCTCTGTTGAGAGTTTGCATCAATGACTGAAGTGAAGCTGGACATGCAGAGGAGGGAGGGATCGGCACAGTTGATTTGCTCATGAACTTATTGGTAGCTCCACTGCCATGCAACCTGTTTACAATCAAGACATACATACATACATACATACATACATACATACATACATACATACATACATACATACATAGATACATACATAGATACATACATCCAGTACATGCAGTACATCCAGTGCATGCAGCACATACAGCACATGCAGCACATGCAGCACATGCAGCACATGCAGCACATGCAGCACATGCAGCACATGCAGCACATGCAGCACATGCAGCACATGCAGCACATGCAGCACATACAGCACATACAGCACATGCAGCACATGCAGCACATGCAGCACATGCAGCACATGCAGCACATGCAGCACATGCAGCACATGCAGCACATGCAGCACATGCAGCACATGCAGCACATGCAGCACATGCAGCACATGCAGCACATGCAGCACATGCAGCACATGCAGCACATGCAGCACATGCAGCACATGCAGCACATGCAGCACATGCAGCACATGCAGCACATGCAGCACATGCAGCACATGCAGCACATGCAGCACATGCAGCACATGCAGCACATGCAGCACATGCAGCACATGCAGCACATGCAGTACATGCAGTACATGCAGTACATACAGTACATACAGTACATACAGTACATACAGTACATACATGCATGCATGCATACATGCATACATACATACAGACAGACATACATACATAATATACACAGATGTTCAAGAGCATACAAATCAAACCAACATTATCTTTTAAATATATTTCGCTGGACGATTTTTTCAATTGCCCTGCTCGCAGTGCAGAGAGTGACTTGGGTTGAGACTGCAACTGCTGATGCGACATTTGTCGCATGCGTAGTGCGCTCTTAAGGTTTCCATAAAGACAATTGAAAGGCGCAGTGCTGGGAGAGGAACATGTTTGTAGCAGGTTCCAAAGTTCTAGATGATCTGAATTCCATCGATTCTCGAGCATGTCAATAAAGCATCTCAATGGTTGTCAACCTGGCATGGTCGATTTGAGCTTTTTGATGCCCAGCACAGTCTGCATTTCTGACAGGCTCGAGCACCGCTGAGGGCACAGCAGCTCTGTTTGAGCAGCAGTGCAGAGCAACGGCACTCGCTGGGCGGTGAAAGAAATTGACATTGGAGCATCTGTGAACAGGAATGCAATGAATGCAGGATTTTGATGCATTTTGATTTATTCTGTGCACTCTTTTTAGAAGCCCAGTATAGTTGAAAGAATTGCCGTGAAGACTGTGCTAAAGGTATACCAGGCACCTCCAGACTTGCGGCACTACGAATTTCCAAATCATGGACAAACCGGCATCAAGACATGCCCATTGAACGCCTGCTCTTCTTAAAACAATTGCTCAAGGGAAGATGGGGAAGTGATGCAAACTTGTTTCCTGGTCCCAGCTGTGGTTTTGTCAGCTTTGTCATACATTTGATGCCTACTTTTGAGGGTGGTCTGGAGTAGGTTTTCCATAGGTGGTCAGATTTCTAGTTCAAACAGGAAAATCTGGAGCTTCTCTTGAGCAGCAATTTTTCTGCGTCTCACAGACATTCGTCATCATTCGTCAACGAGATGCAGAGAGCCAGATGACTTCAAGGCGTCAGACGTACATCGCACCGTGGAGTGCGTAGAAAAAAAATGCGTTTTGTCATGGAATGTCATGGAATTATGGAGTGGAGTCTAAAAAAAGTTCTGGACTTCTGAGGCCTTGAGGCAGGTTCTGAGGTGTGGAATGTGGCAGGCTGAGGGGGTGAAACTATTTTTGGTTTCACTACAACGAGTTATCCAAGAAATAAACAGACAACACATGGGAGAGTCCACTTTGGTGTGTCTTTCTGCTCGTGAATTTGCCCACGGCATCCTTTCAGCGTGAGTCCTCCAGATCTCGGACGACTTTGTTTGGAGTCTTTGGTTCCCTTTGGTTCCCTCTTAGGGGAACTCCTTTCAACTCTTTGGGAAACCGCGGCTATGTGTTCGCCACTTGGGAAACCCAAGTGTTTGGGCAGTTCATGGCAGTTCCTAATTCAAAAAATCTCTTCAGTGATCCTTAAACTTCGGATCACGCGGGTGACACAAAGTGCGCTCTGCTTCCGCTCCGGCTTCGAGCTGGGGAGATTTCCGAAGGGTAAAACGAGCTGTGGGAGCGGCTTGAACTTGGTGACGGCGGTCTGGTATGGTCTGGATGATTTGTGGTTACAGAAGTCCGCAAAGACCCCATGCGGTCAATATCAGTCAATCAATCTCATCTCAAACATAGCTTCACGTAGCTTCACACAGCCTTAGCTTCACATTTTTGGGGTGACTGGAGTCCGACGGGAGCATGTTTTCTCAGATTCTTTCGATGGGCTCAGCTTTTTGTAGCTGATTGGGCGTTGCAGCACGTGGATCGAGCTCATCCTGAGACTGGCTCAAAATGTGGATACCAATCGAAACATGTCCTCGCTAATCCTGATTGTTCTCGACATGTTGCGGTTGTAATGCGTTTGGATGTTTGCATTGGCTCAGCTGGCTCAGCTGTTCAAGTTTTGAGACTTACAAGCTACAAGAGTAAGGGCATCACGGGAAAGTTTCATGGCCTCAATGACATGCACTTGCCATCCGAAGCCTGGCGCGCTGACCAATTTCTCCCAGGAAATGCCAATGCGAGACCGCACACAAAATACAAACTGCGCGCAAACTCGGAGTGAATATCTAGTCTAAATATGTCTAAATATGTCTAAATAATTCTAAATAGTCTGAATAGTCACCTCTTTTTGGGACAAACCAATCACATCATGCAAACATTACACTGCAAAAAAGAACGACCAAAGCCGTGTGCTCCCTGTGCCGTGCCATGAGATGGGCGAGGCACTGCTGCGCTCCCATGTGCAGGCACAGTTCAACCACCAGGTTACCAAGTCTACCAAATTCATCCTCAGTGCTCCCCAAATAGAGTGTTTGAATGTCCCTGATCGAAGTGGCCCCGAAGCTTTCGAGGCGCTGCGATCCAGCGGCATAGCGGCCTTGCAGCGCCTGCAATTGGAGGACCGAGCCGGACCAAACTTCGGGCATCAGCAATCTGAGCTCTCCAGCTGGGTGCACCGATGGCATCCGATGGCTAGATCTCCCCAGGACAATGTAATGGAGATGAAGCTTTGCACAGCCGGTGAGACTCGGCGGCTCAACTTCCTCATCTATGAGGTCCGGATGTTTGTCGTCCGGAATTGAATGCCTGTCAGAATCTGATCCGATGTGATGGCTTGTTGTGTTGCACTTGGAATTGAAAATTTGGTTGAGCGCCCGTAGCCACTCTGCCAGAGTGGCTGCGATTCCTCGTGCCGCACGCTCATCCACTCCTGATTCAAAGCCGGAGCTGGAGCCAGGTTGATTCATATCCAGCGAGTGGAGGTGTCATGATGGGAGAGGACTGCTTCCTTGTGGTTGGAGTTCCGGGAGAACAAAGTCACAACGTTCCGGGAGAACAAAGTCACAACAATCACCGAGTCAATTCCTGACCATAAAAACTCCAAGTCGCCAAACATCCCAAAATATCGACGTTGAACTGGTTGAGCCAGTTGCCGTAATCAGCGCAGGATTCCGATGCGGCAGTGGTTGATGTGCCGTGGTGCATTTAAGCAACGTAGTTGTATCTTGCAATGTGAGAGCATGGTGGGAACCTTTTTTTTGTCACCCTACGTGCATTTTCTTGGTCACCCCATTTCCAGGAGAGTGATGGCTGTGCACTGTGGGAAAAAAAACCTTCCAGAAAGCCTTTGACATTTTGTGACATGTAGGCTGTAGATCATGCAGGGTTCTTGAAGGTGCCTGAAGCTGTTTTTTTTTCTCCCCTCTTTGTGCAAGTGCGAAGGGGTTGTGGCATGACGATGTGAAATTGAGGCCGTCAACGAATTGCTGGGTGAGCGCGAGAATTTGGAGATCAGGGAGGTCGTTTCATCGGCCTTGAAGGTCCTCAAGGCCTAGCATTGCCCTAGCTACCAGTAGTATCACTAGTCCATGCATGTGCAAATCATATCTAGTCATGGCATGGAAAAAATGAAACGCAAACCAGAGCAAGAGTTGTTGAACTCACCGTATATGGATATGTTGCAGTTTGAAGCAGTTGAGACTAGTTACTACTTGACTAGCGACTGATCACCACGGCAACCATCAAGATCTACAAATCAGCCATCAAGTACAGCCATGGGATGTGAGGGGGCAGGAAGGGGGTAGGAGGGGGGTGGGCTGCAGGCTGATGTGCCGGAGCTCCTGAACGAGGACAATGAGTTCGGACGTGGTCGGACAATGTCGAACATGGTTCACAGAAGATAGCTATCTCGACATGTCTCGATGAACAACATGACCTGACAAGGTGACAAATGTATAGAAATGTAACTTAAATGATCTGAAATGTACACAAAGGTGAGCATGCCTTTAAAAAGTGATGAACTCTGATGAAATCGAATTGCAAGTGCATTTGTCTTGAGGACGCTTGTCGACCGGACGCTGAGCAGGAGGACGAGCTTTTCTTTGAAGACGACGGTGCAGCGCCAATAGTATGGGGATGCTGGCCGCTGGCCATCCACCAAGAAAATATGGAACGCATGATGATACATTAGTAATCATTAGTAGCCAAGCAAGAAATGCCGCAACATGTGACTTGATTCTGAATAGACTACCGAAGTGCTTCGGCATCAGGTGCCCAGGCGTTGATGGTTGATGATTCCTCGTTTGACCGCTGCAATCGCCCTGGGTGGAAGAAAATGAAATGGCAGGACTGACTGCAAGTTGGGTTAGAACATGTTAGAATAAGTAATATCTTTATGGCTTTAGCAGCTTAGCGAGCACATATGTACGTCGATGTGCATACGGACTGCTAGCTGGACAGTACCTCCTGGCAAAGACTTCAAGAATTGTTTTCTACAAGATTTGGCATCTGGCAACAAACGCGTGGCATCTAGCAGCGAACGCCACACATGCCCATGTCCAAACGGTTGAGTAGCCACCTATGCTCTCCCTCGGTTCCTTTCACAAAAGTGAATGGTTGATTTGACATCAAAACGCGAAGTGACGGTGATTTGTTTCCTTCCAAGTGCAGCAAACGGATGCAAAGCAGAAATCGTCAGGAGGTTGAAGATCAACGGCTCGTTCGAGAGAAGCGCCGGAGAGGCACCCGCATGAGAGGGTTCAAACCAACGTGAAAGAACGGTGAACTATTGTAAATCAAAAAGAGGCACTGACCCCCTGGATCTCGATTTTTGTGTTGAGGAGATCGAGAGGACCTCACAAACGAAGAGCAAAAGGCTGCCAAGGAGCAAATCTTCAACTCCAATGAGGCCTTTTAGATGCCCCAGTTGCCAATTTATGATTTGTTCTGCGTCACGGATAGCTGCGGGGTGACATTGAAAGTTGGGAAAGGGTGGTTAATCGGTGCCGAGTCGGTGACACTGGACACTCTGATTGCCAAGTGGCAGGCCTTCAACATTTTGTCCAACGAATTGTACACCTTACAGACTGAGATGCGGCTTGACATGGCTTGACTGCCTCAAAAAGGAAGGAATGCTGTTAAGGTCAAGAAGTCGTAGGTCCACAGCTGTGAGCACAAAGGTTGTTAAGGCACACAATTCATATCAGAGATACTCAGAGATACTCAGGGATATGATATTCATATCAGGTAGTATCAGTATCATGTACCATCAGTTTTTGGGGTATGCATTCAGGCTAATATAAAGTACCACATGTTCATGTCACTGTGTGGTTCGCAAGGATTTGCAAGGTACTTGCGTTCATACCACAAGGTAAGTCCTTTTGCTCCACCCTGCTGGTGGTTGATGATTTTAGGAGCTGTAAATACATGTAAATACTATCCAATGTATCGGGGATCATGAGGAAAATGGAATGACAGACGGTTGCGCATAGGCCGCATAGGGACCTTTCAAAATTCGAAGAGATTTGGCCCCGTGAAATTCCAAGGACTCAAGGGATCCAAGCCGATGCCGTGGATTTCAACGTCTACTACTGGGTACCCTGACCGACACAGCACAGCCAGCGCCTCTAGCGGCGCGCACCTCCGGGTTTAGCCAAGGCAGTGCGGCTGCGAGGCTTCAGAGGGGAGATGGCTGCAGATTTGATGGAGCTGCAGAAAACTCAAGGCTGTGATGCACGTAGTGACGTAGTGACGTAGTGACGTAGTGACATGTTGCAAGTGGATGAGCCCATGGGGTACAAGATGGCGGGCGGTGTCATATGAAGGGTCCGAGCACATCAAAGAATTCCCAAAATTGCGAAAGGAATTGCGAATGCAATAACCTCTAATCTACTCCTACATCTCAACATTTTAATTGCTTGTATCATGTGATTCATATGGTCATACTAGCCTCCACGGCCCCTCATATGGAATTTCCCTTGCCAGGCTACAATTATGTGGAGCTCCGTGTGGCTTTCAAGGAGGACTTGCATCCGTTCTACCCGCCGACCATTGCGGTTCTAAGACCACGACTTTACGGAAGATGCTTGGCAACTGCGACACACAAGGACTTTTGTGACTCATATATATATACACATATTTATTTATGCAGAAATGTGGCCCACAATGGGCCAACAGTGCGACATGTTGGCAAGCCTTGCTGAGGATATGATGTCCAAGCAGCCCTTGCCTGCCACCCACGGCTGCAGCTCAAAGGATGGAGCCCTTTTCAGCTTGCGGCCCCAAAATTCAGAACTCTTGTGCCAAGCGTTGAAGTCACTGGAGAGAGTGCCACGTTTGGAAGCCGATCTAGAATCTAGAACTGAGTAATGCTGACTACATTTCAAGGCTTCAACACTGCAGCCTCGTAAATTCAGAATCAACCATCAACATATTATGTTGTAATATGTTGCTGAAACTTGTGCTACACCCAGCTATCACAAAAAATGGGGCAAAGCAGCCTTCTGAGGTCATCCAAAGATTTGCTAATGGCCGTCCAGAACTTTTTGAATCAGATCGCCCGACGCTGGGATGTCAAGACGTGCTGTGTTGCATCCCTTGAATGCCCAAAGACGATAAAACAAAGGTCCTGCTGTGTCGGCAACTCAGGAGTGGACTTGACAAGCCAAAGAAATGCGATCAATGCATATCCGGAGGCCGCCGTGTGAAGGGGCTTGCCTTGCAAGAGGATACGCAAGAAATCACCCATTTACAAAAACCTTGCTGATGGCGCTGGAGAGAGAGAGAGAGAGAGAGATAAAGTCACTTTAGCATCAGGATATCTCCTTCCTCACTCCGCTGTGGCCCAGTCTGGTGTTCATATGTTTTCACACGTTTTCACATCGTTTTTCCACCATCTTCGGTATCCGAAAAAGTTGTGACAAGTTGTGGTGCAGGGTGCTTTCAGCCCCTTGGAGCAGCGATTGGCGCAGCTGCAGCGTCTGTGTGGGGTGAAGCCACCACAGCTGCAGTTGGATGTTGCTGGCAACGCCTATGAGGACTGCAGCTCTCGGGATGCTGTGGGGAGTTGGGACGCTGGGGAGGATAGTCGGAGCATGTTGGAATATGTTGGAGCTTTGGAGGGTTCAAATATTTGGATGTATGAGATGGTCGCAGCCACTGGAAGTTTGGAATCTCAGGTAGCAGGGGCTCAGTTGGAGTCAAAGTCATTTGCTGTTTTCCTTTGGGTGTTTGTTATTCTTCCCATTCCACTGGAACAGTCACTGCCCTTCAACTTTTCCCTCCCTGCTTTTGTTTTCCAAAGCCGCATGCAAGCAACCCAGGCTCTAGCAACATAATTTAATCAACGTTGAAGTTTGCATGGAACTGCTAGGCTCCCCCATCCTGCACCGGATTGCACCGGTCTAAACTATCACCCAAAAGTCCCAGCCTGATAGGATGATCCTTGGGCGCAGCTGCTTGGCGGGGTTTTATGTGCATCCTGCATCTCCCATGCTGGATGGAAGGGCAGGGATGTTACCACTTTATGAAGTTATGGAGACTTCTCCTACTTTCTTTGGTGAGGCACTTCTCTGCCACCCTGTTTCATTGGGTCATGCAACCTTTGCTTTTCCTGGCGCTAATTGTCTAATGACTCAGGAGTGCAGAGCTCCAAGTTAGCTCCTTTGGAATGCTGCAAGGCGGGTGTGGCGGGCGCAGATTGTTGGAAAAGGTGACCCAGAATTCATCGTTGTTTGTCAAGTTCGCGGCTTTGATCCCGGGTTGTTCATTCAAAAAAAATCAAAAATCGTGCAGGAAAGAGGAGCCAAGCGGAGGCATCACAAGGCTACGCCTGTTTTTTTTTTGCAATTGGATGGCTGTGGCAAAAGCGGCCTTAATTCATCAAGGTTCGTTTGGATTTGTTTGGTGTTTGAAGCGTCTACGTTGCAGAACGTTGACTCAAAGCAGCAGACCGCTGTTGCATGACAGAACCAGAACGAGCTGGTGGTTGGGCAAAAGGTGTAGGCTATGGCTCTGACGTGATTACAGGCGAATTCGAGCGATGGGGGCTGCTTCGTGTTGCATTGGGGTCCGTGGATGCTACAGTTTCATGCGGTGCAATGATATCTCAATATATTCCATGATATTTCATAGTTTATCTTCATGATATTTTATGCACGATCTGTTTTCCGAGCCAAAATTCAAACCAGTGGCTCAGTGATTCCCTCCAGGACGAAGCTGGGACCCTGCCGCAATGCATGCAGCGCAACAAGCGCAGGAGTGGTGAAATTCGGTCAAGGCATCAGGCTTCAATCGGCAGCCGTACTCGAATCAGAGTGACTGGAGTGACTGGAACCTGGTCAGCCATGGTCAGCCATGGTCAGCCATGGTCAGCGGTCAGCCATGGTCAGCCATGGTCAGCCATGGTCAGCCATGGTCAGCCATGGTCAGCCATGGTCAGCCATTGCATCGTTTGCATATCGTTTGCATTGTATGCATCTACGCAGACTCACATCGTTAGGACTTGGAGCTTCAGGAACTTGTGGTGGCGATTTGCAACTTGACCTCCGCGTATATCATAGAATCATGTGTCATCTCTGCGCTGCAGTTGTAGGCTGCATTTGATTGTTCAACGTTCTCATGATTCGTGAATGTTTCTGGAAATTTGTGGAGCTGCTTGACGGTTGAATTCATTGAGGATTGACGGGCACGATAGGAAGAATATTCCGCTGCTATGCCTTTGCAGTGCAGTGCTGCTACACATCCTGAGGCGAATTTCTTGGACGCGAAGGCAGTGCCAGCAGCTGCAAGTGCCCAATGCATCGAACAATGTCAAGCCAGGATTAGTATCCTACTATATAACTTATCCTATGAACGCTAGTATCTCTGGGCGTGTCAATCCCCAACACAGCCTTTATGTTTGGATGGTGTCCTCTTGAATTCGATGATTTCACTATTGAATTGTAGCTGTAGCTTCCAGAGCCCAATCTGATGATTTCCCTTTGGAATTTCATAGGTTTTGGCCGCCCCAATGAGGCTAAAGTCTAATTTTGGGTTTATGAAGTCCGAACATATAGGTCTCCGAGCCTTGTCAGCCTTCTGGACCTTTCATGGGACAGCAGAAGTATACCGGTACATGCTTTTGTCAGGGAAGGTGCTTGTGCATCATATATGTGCATATGATATTAATTGATATTATACATGTTTGTGAGCACATGCCCCATTCGAGTCCAGACATGTGTCCACAACCAGAAAGTTGCCCGTTTGCCTCAAACTCTGCATTTCTGTGTGCCTTGAAGTGCCCGAATGGCATAAAACCATGGCCTTTACCGACTAAGTGACTAGGTGAATGATGGTGAATTCTGTCACTTGGACCCGGACTGGAGGTCAAGATCTTGGCGAGCTCATCTCCAAGTCCTGTCTGCTTCCTTTCCTTGAAGGACCGCCTTCCCGGAGTCGGGAAGATGGTGAAGGAATCGATGCATTGGCTTGGATATCGATATCAGTCGATTTTGATTATCACGAAAGCTAGCTTCTGCTAGCTGAAGTCCCTCTTGCTTTAGCAAGGTATTGGGGGGAATCTCCAATCGCGAAAAACTTCTCAGTTAATTAACCCCCCTCCCCCCCTTTCACAAGCAGTTTGGTCGTGGGCTCAACCCCTCCCGGGACACGGTCAGTAACAGCACCGGCACGATCACTACAGTAGTATCCGCCCTCTACACTTCTCACTCTGGAGTCCACACTTTACACGCTAAACTTTACACTCCGCATCTTACACGTTACACTCCACACTCGACATGTTACACTTACCTGTTAACGCACTTTACATTCCACATTTCACACGCTAAACGTTACACTCCACACCTTACACATTACACTCCACATTCGACATGTTACACTTAACTGTTAACTCACTTTACACTCCACACTTTACACGCTAAACTTTGCACTCCATACTTTACACTCTAAACTTTACGCTTCACACTTTACACCTCGCACTCCGCAGTCCTCGCTTTACACCCACACTGTACGCTTGGCACTCCACACTCTACGTTTACACGTGGCACTCACACTACACTTACTTTAATCTGTACGCTTTCGCACTTTACATTTTCACTTTACACTTCACGTTAGACCCCCACAACTTTGCCCTTTTCACACTTGACACTGTATGGAACCTTGGCCTAGCTCCATTGTCATATTGAGTGCGCACATCTACCTGTCGTCCTGAACTTTCGCCGCTCGCTGCGTTACTTCTTCCCACGCTTCCAAAGGTGTCGAAGGGGGACCTTTGAATTTTCCCCTGCACTGTGCACTCTACACTCCGCATTTTACACTCCGCACTTTACACTCTAAACTTACACGCCACACTTTACACCCACATTCGACAGTTTACACTAAACTCTTAACGTACGTACTTTACACGCCACAGTTTGCACTCCAAATTTTACACTCCACACTTTACACCCCACGCTCCACACTCTACACTTCACGCTCTACACTTGGCACTCCACACTCTACTTTTACACGTGACACTCACACTTTAAGGTTTACGCTTTCACTCTTTCCACCGTACACTTGACTTTAGACCCTCACAACTTTGCCCTTTTCTCACTTGACGCTGTATGGAACCTTGGCCTTGCTCCATTTTCATGTTGCGTGCGCACATCTACCTGTCGTCGTAAACTGTCGCCTCGCACTGCGTGACGTCTTCCCGCGCTTCCAAAGGTCCACTCCGGTGCCGCAGGTGGACCTTTGAATTTTCTCGACTCAGTTGTCATGATCTTGTCTATGCTGAATGTCTTCATTCGCTCTTACACGTTACACTCCACATTCGACATGTTACACTTAACGTAACTGTTAACGCACTTTACACTCCACACTTTACACGCTAAACTTTACACTCCATACTTTACACTAAACTTTACGCTTCACACTTTACACCTCACACTCAACGCACTCGGGCCGCCGCCCGTTGTTGACAAACAATAATCCTTTGCCAGGGCATGACCCTCCGCATCGCCCAAAAGGGACCGCCGCTGCGCTACCTTCTGCGTTTCATGGCCATCACACTGCCAAGCTAGGTTTCGTCCCTTGCTCCTTGCCCTCAAGTTTACATACATAAATTTAAATCTCATGTAATTATCATACAATCATCTAATTTTAATGATTTTATGTTCCTTAGATATCCTCAAATTACATTCAGAACATTCAGATGTGGCTGAAAGCTATCCTACTGACCCGCAGCAGTGAGAATCCGATCCGTGGCATGCGGCATGCTTTTTGATTGTGAGGAGAATTGGCAACGTCGTATACCGATATGGGAGAGAGGCCTCAATTCTTCAAAGAGGTGCTGAGACTTGTGGAGGTGATGTTGCCTCTTCTGCACGGGCCCTGGGAAACCCTCCAAGCAGCGAGCATCAGGCATCAGTACATATCAGCACTGTTAGCACCCTACAATCCATACGGCTCATTTGCATGGTGCAATGGTGCCGTGAATGTGCTGTGAATGGGACTCATCAGGTTAGACTGTAGCTTCCTCGTGTAGCTGCAAATCCAAGCTGCTCAAGATAATTACACAGTAACGGCACACAAAATCCATAAGTCAAGAACAGCCCAGCCCCAGAGAATATCATGGAACCCGATCAGCATTCGCAGTTTTGGTGGCCAAGGCCTCCACAAAGTTTTTCACCATTGAATTTGCGATTGGCAAGCTGCAAGGTTCCCGAGTGGGCTCTTGGTAGCTTTAGCTTGAACACAGCGGTGACATGTTTATTGTGTGTGTGTGTAGTCAAAAAAAGGTTTTTGGTTCTACGTATGCACATGTATGGATGCATGCTGACACAAATGTTAAAATAATCATTTCCCCATTTTGCAGCAGCCTTTCAATCCTGGAGGACTCTGCAAAGACCTTCCTTCAGTCGCTCTCGGGAAAGCAGTTGGAGCAGTGCACGGAGGACTCGGGAATGATCGTGAATGATGGTGCTAAGATGACCATGGAGGGAAGAAGCATCATAGGGCAGATATGGTATATGCGGCATATGATTATTTTGTGTGTACATCGATCGGTGGATCGATGGAAGGATGGATGGAAGGATGGATGCATAGATATAGAGTTGTAGCTCCTGTGGTTCTTGTTTTCAGTTTCCATTTCTTTGTAATTACGCAGTGGTGATGTTTTCATCAAGACCTTCTTCAAGCTATCAATGTCCCAGGTCAGGAAAGATAAGAAAGGATCATTTGCTTACCGCCTCCGCTTAGTAGTGCAGACAGTGCAGACCAATCCATCCATACAGCCCCGTGCAAATTGGCGAATGTGACCTACCCCCCTTTCCAGTTTGGGATTGGTCGCTGGATCCAACCCCAAGTTCTGGCAGTAAGCAGAAGTGTGTTTGTGTCCAGAAAATACAGTCCATTCGCGTTGATATTCGCATTTCACGCTCTTTTGGTCTTTACAAATTACTTTACATGTAAAAAACTGCATTGAGCAGGACATGGGCTTTGCACAGCAGGTTGTATCAGTCGCAGGAGCTTTAGACAGGCGAGCCCGGGCAGAGGAACTGATAGATCTGATAGTGCAGAAGAGCTTTTGATGCTGCTTTCTTGGTCAGGTAGAAAACTGACAAATGAAAAGCGGATGTGAAAAGACATGAGAAGACTGAGTGCCTACTCCGGATTTCCCGAAGGCTTTCAGAATTGGATTGATGATTGATGTGTGAATGTTTGCTTCGGATTGCTTCGGGGTGCTTCGGACGTGAGGTGCTGTGGTACTTTGACCTCGGACAGTCACCCAAGAGGCTTCCCGCAGGGCATGTTGGGATGTTGACAGGCTAAGGCTTCTAGGGATGCGAGATCGGCTTGTTGACACCTTTGGGATCCTTTGGGCCAGAAATCGGCGGAGTCTTCTAAACCTAGCGGCCTAGCGGCCTAGCGGCATGCGATCGTAAAGTGATCGCCAGTGGCAAAAGATGGCAAAAGGATGCAAAAGGATGAGGTATTTCAAGGCAAATGTATTGTGGAGCTTTGATTTGTTTTCACCTTGTTTCAATCTTTAGCCGTTCAATGAAGACAAGCAGCAGTTGGTTCTTGAGATTCTTTCGCTGTTTGGCCTTGTGTCAATTCCAAATTCGCGTTTCTCCCAGCATGAGCTGCTGATATGGCTCTGAGACCTGCAGGAAGTGCCAGTGAGTACTGCAAACGGCTCGAATTTCTGCAGCTGGATTTTGGCGAGCTCGAAGGTCCCCTGTGCTGGCTGTACAGCATTTCCATTGTGGCAGAGATGCACCTTGCCGCTTCCCTGATTTTGGGGACTTCTATATATCTATCAACATTCTATCAACAGCTCTCACTATACTTAATGATTATATAATGATCGATGGCGATTATGTAATGCTATCATTTGCGAAATCATTTGACTAAACTTCAGTCATTCAGTTAGATGAAGAACTTCATTGTCACGGCTGATGTCAGGGGACCATTGCTTTGCAGACATGGTTCGACAAGAAACTTCAGCACCACAGGCTTGCTGCACCAAACCGTTGCACTATCTCTTTCCTACAAGCATTTTGGAATACTGAATACTTTAGACAGTGGCTTATGTGATTTAGATATATTTAGACACTGACTCATACTTGAGTTGTTCAGAAAGACAAGCCACAAGCCGAAGCCCCCTTGTTCATCCTTTTCCATTGTCACAATGCTCTGTGTCGCACTGGGCCTGTTACCTTTGAAACATGCATCACTTGTGGAACACTTTGTATCAAATGGTTGCGTTGTTCATTGCTGACTAGGCCCGGACCTTGCGTCTTGCCAAGGACTGCTTCAGAATTTTCGGTAGGTAAAGCGATTTAGAAATTGTTAGTTGTTGCATTGTTAGTTGTGATCGTGGTGTGACCATTGAGTAAAGAACCAGTCAAGAACCTCTTCTTCCCTGCACCCATTTGCACCCCCTTCCGTCATGTGCTGTCCCAACTTCCAGGAGTTTGCAGGTCTATCCTCCATGCTGCCTCTCTCTGATTCGTCCGCGGTGGGTGACCTCAACAGTCGCACTTGTCACCACGATTCCCTGTTGGAATTTTGGTCACGAATGGGATCTGAGTTGGAATTTGGATTGTTTTGGTGTTGGCTTCTGCTGGTTTCTCAAGGATTGCAGTGACTCAGTGGCGGATTCGCCGGAGTTGCCCAGGTGTTGGTGCGAAGTGGACAGAGACATCAACAACTCTGGCGAGCTTTGATCACTGGGCCGGCAGAGACGCCCTACAGCGGAGGATGCTTCGCACGGGTTCCAAGAAATGCCAAGAAGTGCCAAGATTGTTTGGCCTTGAGACATCACGATGAGCCATCATGAGCCATCATGAGCCATCATGAGCCATCATGAGCCACGAAGAATAACTGGAAACATGTCGGTGGAAATGTGCAACTTGTATCAACTTGTCCTGATTTCAGTGATATGAGGTTGTGAGGTAGGGTTGGCAACTAATATCGACTAGTGACTAGTCATGAGCATATAGAATGTGATCCATTTCTGGGTACCTGCCTTGATGAGTTGGAGACAGACCAACCTCACATCGTGTTGCCACCCCCTTCCAGCTGCAGCCAGATCTTCGACATCTATTTCCCGTGGAACTATCCGAATTCCCCTCCACAAGTGAGGCTACTGACCACAGGTGGGAGTTCGAAAGTGGATGGGAACATGTGGGAACCCCTTCAAAGTGTCTTGGAGTCTTGGCACGTTTTGGCTTGAAGCTCACGGGTGGTTGCAAATTCCGATTATGCTTTTTTCTGGACACCGGTCATTGGTTGCACGCATCAACTTACAAGGCAGACATATCATGACATCCGTGAAACCACGTGTTGGGGAAATAGCCCCCCCTTCTTTGGCAGGCAGTCAGGTATTTGCAGTATTCCAGACCCTGATGACTTGTCGGAGATCTGAACCGCAGCTGTTCTGACTCAGCTTGATATCCGACTGCGAAGTGCTGATTCGCACGGGGCCAGTCCTGAAGCCATGAAGATTCTTGCGGCATTCCTGGTGGCTGCAGCTGCTGAGCCCTGTGCAGTTCCAGCGTCCTTCCCGCGGACATCCAGAGTCAGCCGTAGATTCTTTGGCCTTTTAGAGCCTTGACAGAAATGGAAAGAAATGGCACAGTAAAGTTACATACTTCACCCCAACAGTGACATCAGTGAGACCAGTGAGACCAGTGAGATCTCGTGACATCAGTGACAATGGTTCATCACTGGTTCATCACTGGTTCATCAATGGTTCATCAATGGTTCATCAATCTCATCATACTTCACTCAGTGACATACCGTATTTCAATCTGCGGAGGGGTCAGCCTTTTCGGAGAAGCCACCCGCTGAGTCGACCTTGGATTTCACCCCGCTGGCATTCCACGAGACGCCGGGCTTCTGCCGCAAAGGGCCAAGTTGGAAAAAGGACGTGAAACTAGACACCAATGCGGGCAAAACCAGAGGTGCAATCAACAACGAGCCACTTTGGTATGAAATGGTATGAAGGGATGCAAGGATATGCAGGGTGGATGCAGTTGAGACATGATGAAACATGAAACAATGTGAAACATCTGAGGAGGCAAGTAACATATGGAAACTATTTGGCTTCCGAAGGGGTAAATGCGATGGCTCAGGATAGGCATGCAATGTTCATGCTTTGTGCTCTGTTCCTCACCCCAGTAAAAAACACATGCATTGTGGATGTCCAGATATGCGGGGTGTGGTTTATGTTTGAGTCGCTTGGCAAAGCGCAAAATGCAGTTTTTGAGCTATAGAAGTAGTTAATCAGTTCATATCAGTTCTATAATTGTTTACCATCATTCGAGGCTAGCAGTAGCCTGCAGCAAAGCTGGACCCCTGGAGCACTGGAGCTCTGAGCTGTGATACGCATGCTTAGCATATCTCAGTGCGCTGCTCCAAGGTACGGAGACAAACTCTGGTTTTGCTTCGAAAAGCCCCGGACCTTGTTGGGTTGCATGGCCGAATGTGAGGCGCGACCCGACTGTGGATCTTTCGACCGACCGCCAAACGAGGACGCACAAGAATGCTGCCTGTTTTGGGAAGGCCGGGGGCAGGGGAGGAGAGGGCAGGAAAGGGAAGTACAATGAAATACAGCGGAGGGGAGCCAAATGTGCATCCTGTACATTCATGTTCTGTGCAAGTGCTGGACGTATCGTGACTCATCCTCGCTTGCCATGGGATTATTCCCTTGAAGGGCTTTGTGGAAGCCTCTGAGACAGAAGACATTTGAAAGTTTCAGATGACCAAACAGGCAACACTGGAGATGATTTGCCAGATCGTCAGTGCTGGGTGCGACAAGAAGACCAAAGCGATTTGCCACCAGGCTCCCTTTTGGGCACATCAGCAACTCGATTTCAAAATTTAGACTTGGCGAGCACCTCTGGGGATGAGATGCCCGAGTCATTTTTCACGTAAAACATAGGTAAAATTGCAGGAAATACCTTGCAAGATCTTGCAAGCAGAATGCTGCAAAGAGAAAGGAAAACAGCCCTGGGGCCAGAACATTTTGCAGATATATGAAATAAGCAAATAAATGAATAAATAAATAAATCAATATATATATATAATTATATATATATTATCATGGAATATTATTTGCACGGGATGCGCATAGGAGTTTTGAGAGTTACACGGGTTCACAGGTCGGGGATTCTCAGGGCATGTCCAAGTGCAGCATTTGCAAAAGAATCCAGTGGACAGTGCTGAGGTGACCGTGATGCCGGTTCCTATTTTCACGATGTTGAAGCTGGATTCTTCCACGCGGGGCGTCGTTGCCGAAGCGAACCGGTGGTTTTGTCCGACTTGGACTTGGTGCGACTTCACCATCAAGGACGCCAAGGGACGGCAAGGATGGCCAAGACACGGAGATGGACGATTCAAAGAATTCCAAAGAGCAAACCTGATAAACCTGTAAACAAATTAAACAAGACACGGAAACATTTGCAGAGCCCAATATTTGTGACACTTTGTGACAGTAGTATGAAATTTTGGAAACGGGTTTGGCTTCATTGCAGATATCGGCTCGGTATGGTCCAACATTGTCGGCTGCATGGCCCTAAAATCACTAAAATTGCCATTGATGCTGAACCATCTGAACCGAAGCAAAAACAAGGTCTGAAGCCATTGATGCAGCATGATGAGCGAACAGATCTGAACTTCGTTCTGAAATTTCTGAGCAGGATTGCTTTGGGAATGTTCTCTACGAGGTCTCTGCAGAGTGGACGACGGACTTGGATTCAGATGGCGTTGAGTTGCCACTTGGATCGGTATAGTGTGGTACGTATACGAGGGCTAGAGGGCCACACTAAATGAAGCTTGAGCTGCAAGATGCTGCAAGAATTGATAAATTCGAATGACCTGGCCGGGAATTCAAGACTTGTGAATCTGTGAATCTGTGCGCATTTTCTATAGGCGATACCAGGTTGTGAAGCTCATGTACGTTTAATGACCTGTGGAACTCATGTACGTTTAATGACCTGTGTGATCGCCAGGCCTTTATTGATCACAGGGCAATTGAGTCTCGTGCCTATTACTGCTACTGCTACTGCTGCTGCTGCTACTACTACTACTCCTACTACGACGGCTACTACCACTACCACTACCACTACTGCATTACTTCCACTGCTACTAGTATTAGTACTACCGTAGATGGACGAAATATTCAAACCCCTTCTATCCGGTACAACCCCCTCGCCCCCAAAGTTCAATGTTATTGTAACCTGAAGTGCGTTAGCCCCAATGGACGAAAAAAATCAAACCCCTAACATCACTTTTGCTAACACACGCGCTGAAACATTGAGATTTGGGGGTGCGGGGGTTCAACATAGTGCGTGCTGCAGGGTTTGAATATTTTGTCCATCTACTGTCTCGTTCTCTGATGTTTTCACATCTTTTGGTCTCCAAACTCTGTTGTGGAAACATCAATGTGCGTGCTGCTGATCTTCTTCCAAACTGCGCAAAACATTGGCTTTTCACAAGTAAATGCCTCCTGTCTGTCTCCCGTCCCATTTTTGTCTATTCCCTAATTCGCAACTTATTCCTAAGTGCACAAAACATTGTGTTTTCACAGGTAAGTGCAACCTTTGTGCTTCCCGTCCCATTTTTTTCTATTCCCTAATTCGCAACTTATTCCAAACTGCAAAAAAACATTGTGTTTTCACAGGTAAATGCTGCATGTGTCTCTCGTCCCATTTTTTCCTATTCCCTAATTCACAACTTATTCCAACATGCGCAAAACATTGTGTTTTCACAGGTAGATGTGCATGTCTCTCTCGTCCCATTTTTTCCTATTCCCTAATTCACGACTTATTCGTTTGACGTGGCCCTGCCATTGGATTTTGTTATTTGTGACGTGCTGCTTCTTTTTAAGAGAAAAATATTTCCTTTTTTAATTAGGAGCTGTCTGATGCTGTTCAAGTTGCAAAATCCATTGGCAGGGCCACGTCAAACGAATAAGTCGTGAATTAGGGAATAGGAAAAAATGGGACGAGAGAGACATGCACATCTACCTGTGAAAACACAATGTTTTGCGCATGTTGGAATAAGTTGTGAATTATGGAATGGGAAAAAATGGGACGAGAGACACATGCAGCATTTACCTGTGAAAACACAATGTTTTTTGCAGTTTGGAATAAGTTGCGAATTAGGGAATAGAAAAAATGGGACGGGAGGCACAAAGGTTGCACTTACCTGTGAAAACACAATGTTTTGTGCACTTAGGAATAAGTTGCGAATTAGGGAATAGAAAAAAATGGGACGGGAGACAGACAGTAGGCATTTACTTGTGAAAAGCCAATGCCTTGCTCAGTTTGGAAGAAGATCAGCAGCATGCACATTGATGTTTCCACAACAGAGTTTGGAGACCAAAAGATGTGAAAACATCAGAGAGCGAGACGGTACCAACTGGGGTGTGCGGCATGCCGCACACCCCAGTTGGTACCGTAGATGGACGAAATATTCAAACCCCTTCTATCCGGTACAACCCCCTCGCCCCCAAAGTTCAATGTTATTGTAACCTGAAGTGCGTTAGCCCCAATGGACGAAAAAAATCAAACCCCTAACATCACTTTTGCTAACACACGCGCTGAAACATTGAGATTTGGGGGTGCGGGGGTTCAACATAGTGCGTGCTGCAGGGTTTGAATATTTTGTCCATCTACTGTCTCGTTCTCTGATGTTTTCACATCTTTTGGTCTCCAAACTCTGTTGTGGAAACATCAATGTGCGTGCTGCTGATCTTCTTCCAAACTGCGCAAAACATTGGCTTTTCACAAGTAAATGCCTCCTGTCTGTCTCCCGTCCCATTTTTGTCTATTCCCTAATTCGCAACTTATTCCTAAGTGCACAAAACATTGTGTTTTCACAGGTAAGTGCCACCTTTGTGCTTCCCGTCCCATTTTTTTCTATTCCCTAATTCGCAACTTATTCCAAACTGCAAAAAACATTGTGTTTTCACGGGTAAATGCTGCATGTGTCTCTCGTCCCATTTTTTCCTATTCCCTAATTCACAACTTATTCCTGAGTGCACAAAACATTGTGTTTTCACGGGTAGATGTGCATGTCTCTCTCGTCCCATTTTTTCCTATTCCCTAATTCAGGACTTATTCGTTTGACGTGGCCCTGCCAATGGATTTTGTCATGTGTGACGTGCTGCTTCTTTTTAAGAGAAAAATATTTCCTATTTTTAATTAGGAGCTGTCTCATGTTGTTCAAGTTGCAAAATCCATTGGCAGGGCCACGTCAAACGAATAAGTCCTGAATTAGGGAATAGGAAAAAATGGGACGAGAGAGACATGCACATCTACCCGTGAAAACACAATGTTTTGTGCACTCAGGAATTTGTTGTGAATTAGGGAATAGGAAAAAATGGGACGAGAGACACATGCAGCATTTACCCGTGAAAACACAATGTTTTTTGCAGTTTGGAATAAGTTGCGAATTAGGGAATAGAAAAAAATGGGACGGGAAGCACAAAGGTTGCACTTACCTGTGAAAACACAATGTTTTGTGCACTTAGGAATAAGTTGCGAATTAGGGAATAGGAAAAAATGGGACGGGAGACAGACAGGAGGCATTTACTTGTGAAAAGCCAATGTTTTGCGCAGTTTGGAAGAAGATCAGCAGCATGCGCATTGATGTTTTCACAACAGAGTTTGGAGACCAAAAGATGTGAAAACATCAGAGAGCGAGACGGTACCAACTGGGGTGTGCGGCATGCCGCACGCCCCAGTTGGTACCGTAGATGGACGAAATGTTCAAACCCCTTCTATCCGGTACAACCCCCTCGCCCCCAAAGTTCAATGTTATAACCTGAAGTGCGTTAGCCCCAATGGGCGAAAAAAATCAAACCCCTAACATCACTTTTGCTAACGCACGCGCTGAAACATTGAGATTTGGGGTGCGGGGGTTCAACATAGTGCGTGCTGCAGGGTTTGAATATTTTGTCCATCTACTGTCTCGTTCTCTGATGTTTTCACATCTTTTGGTCTCCAAACTCTGTTGTGGAACATCAATGCGCATGCTGCCGATCTTCTTCCAAACTGCGCAAAACATTGGCTTTTCACAAGTAAATGCCTCCTGTCTGTCTCCCGTCCCATTTTTTTCTATTCCCTAATTCGCAACTTATTCCTAAGTGCACAAAACATTGTGTTCTCACAGGTAAGTGCAACCTTTGTGCTTCCCGTCCCATTTTTTTCTATTCCCTAATTCGCAACTTATTCCAAACTGCAAAAAACATTGTGTTTTCACGGGTAAATGCTGCATGTGTCTCTCGTCCCATTTTTTCCTATTCCCTAATTCACAACTTATTCCAACATGCGCAAAACATTGTATTTTCACAGGTAGATGTGCATGTCTCTCTCGTCCCATTTTTTCCTATTCCCTAATTCACGACTTATTCGTTTGACGTGGCCCTGACAATGGATTTTGCAACTTGAACAGCATGAGACAGCTCCTAATTAAAAAAGGAAATATGTTTCTCTTAAAAAGAAGCAGCACGTCACAAATAACAAAATCCATTGGCAGGGCCACGTCAAACGAATAAGTCGTGAATTAGGGAATAGGAAAAAATGGGACGAGAGAGACATGCACATCTACCTGTGAAAACACAATGTTTTGCGCATGTTGGAATAAGTTGTGAATTAGGGAATAGGAAAAAATGGGACGAGAGACACATGCAGCATTTACCTGTGAAAACACAATGTTTTTTGCAGTTTGGAATAAGTTGCGAATTAGGGAATAGAAAAAAATGGGACGGGAAGCACAAAGGTTGCACTTACCTGTGAAAACACAATGTTTTGTGCACTTAGGAATAAGTTGCGAATTAGGGAATAGAAAAAATGGGACGGGAGACAGACAGGAGGCATTTACTTGTGAAAAGCCAATGTTTTGCGCAGTTTGGAATAAGATCAGCAGCATGCACATTGATGTTTCCACAACAGAGTTTGGAGACCAAAAGATGTGAAAACATCAGAGAGCGAGACAGTACCAACTGGGGTGTGCGGCATGCCGCACACCCGAGTTGGTACCGTAGATGGACGAAATATTCAAACCCCTTCTATCCTGTACAACCCCTTCGCCCCCAAAGTTCAATGTTATTGTAACCTGAAATGCGTTAGCCCCAATGGACGAAAAAAATCAAACCCCTAACATCACTTTTGCTAACACGCGCGATGAAACATTGAGATTTGGGGGTGCGGGGGTTCAACATATTGCGTGCTGCAGGGTTTGAATATTTTGTCCATCTACTGTCTGGTTCTCTGATGTTTTCACATCTTTTGGTCTCCAAACTCTGTTGTGGAAACATCAATGTGCATGCTGCTGATCTTATTCCAAACTGCGCAAAACATTGACTTTTCACAAGTAAATGCCTCCTGTCTGTCTCCCGTCCCATTTTTTTCTATTCCCTAATTCGCAACTTATTCCTAAGTGCACAAAACATTGTGTTTTCACAGGTAAGTGCAACCTTTGTGCCTCCCGTCCCATTTTTTTCTATTCCCTAATTCGCAACTTATTCCAAACTGCAAAAAACATTGTGTTTTCACAGGTAAATGCTGCATGTGTCTCTCGTCCCATTTTTCCCTATTCCCTAATTCACAACTTATTTCAACATGCGCAAAACATTGTGTTTTCACAGGTAGATGTGCATGCCTCTCTCGTCCCATTTTTTCCTATTCCCTAATTCACGACTTATTCGTTTGACGTGGCCCTGCCAATGGATTTTGCAACTTGAACAGCATGAGACAGCTCCTAAGTAAAAAAGGAAATATTTTTC